TAACTGGGACCTGGGCCTGGTCTGCCCCCAGACCGCAGCAGGAGAGTCCGGGAGTCAAGGTTGCCGCAGAGTCTCCGTCAGCCTCGCCATGAACCTGGAGCCGCCCAAGGCTGAGTTCCGGTCAGCCACCAGGGTGGTCGGGGGACCAGTCACCCCCAGGAAAGGGCCCCCCAAATTTAAGCAGCGACAAACCAGGCAGTTCAAGAGCAAGCCCCCCAAGAAAGGCATCCAAGGGTAAGCAGAGTTGGGGGAGAGGGCCTCTGAAAGGGAGGAGGTGGCCACCCAGGACTCACAGCAAAAAGAGGGTGTGGCAGGGCCTTGGGCCACTTTCCTGCGTGAGTGGTCCCAGCCTCACAGCTGGGGTAGGCAGGGCGGGAGTCACCTGCTCCAGATGCTACTGCCAACGATGCTGGGGATAAAAACAGCCACCTCCACATGCACACAAGAGGCACACTCACAGACAAGCTACCCTCACAAATCCACACTCAAACCAGGTACCCATTCCACCCCCCTCGATGCTTCACCAAGGCGCACACCTGCCCAGCACCCCAGGGTTTGCCCCTCCTTTCTGGGCCTCAGCCCTGTGAGGCTCTGGGTAGCAGACTCACCCTGGCTCTGTGAAGGAAGCCCCTCAGCCCCACCAAGCCTCAGGAGGTTGGGGAAGAGGCGGGTCCCTGCCCACTGGACTCCTAGCCAAACACCTCATCTCCTGGGAGGGGTAGAGATGACCTCGAACCTTGGCCAGACTGAGCCAGGGCTGGGTCTGGCCATGTCACTGACTGCTCTGTCCTTGCAGGTTTGGGGACGACATCCCTGGAATGGAAGGCCTGGGAACAGGTACGATGATGCCAGTGCCAAGCCAAGGTCTGCCAGGTCCCCCCAGGCACACCCAGCACACTTGGGCCCATTGCAGCCCACCTCAGCCCCCACCTGCCCAGCTTTTCACTTAGGGACCGCAGCCTGTCCTTCACTTCTTCCCCCAACACTGAGCTCCAGATCCACTGGGTGGGACTGTTCCCATTCGGGACCAGGTGAGGGGAGGGATCTGGGAAGGAACAGAACCCTTTGCTGCCTCCTTCCCCTTCAGCAAGCCCTGCCCTCCTTCCACCACAGCCAGTGTGTCCTGGGAGGTGGGCCCCAGCCAGGGGCCACACATCCCGCTCAGCACACGCAGGGCTACACCTGTGCTGTTGGAAATGGCCACAGGGGATGGGGGTCCAGGGGGATGAGATCCTCCCTGATCCAGGGCCCCTTTCTCCCACAGACATCACGGTCATCTGCCCTTGGGAGGCCTTCAACCACCTGGAGCTCCACGAGCTGGCCCAATATGGCATCATCTAGATGAGGGTCCCAGGTCCTCTCCACCGCTGCCTGCTGTGTTCTGAACCCTGCTCAGGATTCCTGTTGAGGAGACCTCACTAGCCCAGATGGCACCTGGACACCGGGGGGGTGGGGCTGCGACCTCAGGTCCCCCCCTACATATTAGTACCAGTCACCAGCAGCCCACCACCTCCCTCCAGGACGCCCGCTCAGGGGCTAGCATCCCAAGACACTGGCCCCCTCTCAGTCCTGACAGAAAGGGTTGGCGAGTCTCTGCTCCTAGGGAGAAGGGGAGGTGGCCCTAACCCAGGAGCCTGCTGGACCCTGGATCATCCCCTCCTCGAAGCTGGAAAGCTAGGGCAGGGTCTCCCCAGAGTGCTCCCATAACCCAGCCCCCTCTCCTGCCTGTCTGGGGTGCAGAGAAACTCCCCCTCTCTGGAGTCCTTCCCAGGTGGGTGCCCTTGGTTTGACATGCTGAGTAGCAGGAGTCCAGGGTGTGTATGGTGAGCAGATGAGGCCCCAGGCTCATCACACCAGGAGGCCATCCTTGTCAACACAGCCTGCCCTTGCAGTCCCTATTTCAAAATAAAATTAGTGTGCCCTTGCTTGTCCGTGGTGTATTTGTGTGTGGGACAGGGCCTGTGGTGGGGTCACTTGAGCAGGAGCACATGGGTGAAAGGGTGGGCAGTGGAGGGGCTGGCCTGGCTGAGCGGGAAGACAGCTCCTGGGATCACACCCTCACTGAGCCTTGCTGTGGCCCCAAGACATGCAATATCAGGCCACGGCTGGGTCAAGGCAGAAGGCCTTGGTGCACACTCAGGGGTTACAGTCAATGAAGTGTGCAGGTGGCTGGATCAGGCCTCACAGAGAAGATGAGGCTGGACATGGCTCACACCACATGCCATGAGGACAGAGCTCCCACTCCCAACTGCACAAGAGAGAAACAGAGGCACAGTGACACAAGCAACTGCCCCAGAGCCCCCAGCCAGCTCATCCTTAGTGCCCACCAAAACTATCTGTAGCTGGGTGCAGCACCTCATGTCTATAGCCTCAGCACTTTAGGAGGCCAACTTGGGAGGATCACTGGAGCCCAGGAGTTCAAGGCCAGCCTGGACAACATAGCAAGACCCTGTCTCTATTTGAAAACAATGAGGCTGGGTGCGGTGGCTCATGCCTGCAATCCCAGCATTTTGGGAGGCCAAAGTGGGCAGATCATTTGAGCTCAGGAGTTTGAGACCAGGCTGGACAACATGGTAAAACCCTGTCTCTACAAAAAATAAAAAATTAGCTGGGCGTGGTGGTGTGTGCCCGTAATCCCAGCTACTCAGGAGGCTGCATCAGGAGAATTGCTTGAACCTGGGAGGTGGAGGTTGCGGTGAGCCAAGATGGCGCCATTGCGCTCCAGCCTGGGCAACAAGAGCAAAACTCTGTCTCGAAAAAAAAATACAGAAATAATTGCCTGCGTATGGTGGTGGGTACCTGTACTTCTAGCTACTCAGGAGGCTAAGGTAGGAGGATCGCTTGAGCTGGGGAGGCAGAGGCTGCAGTGAGCTGAGATCCTGCCACAGCACTTCAGCCTGGGTGACAAAGTGAGATCCTGTCTCAAAACAAAACAAAACAACAAAAACAAAGCCTGGCCATCTGTGACGGGGTCCGGCTTCTGACACCACATCCAGGGGAAGCAGGAGCAGTGCAAGCTGGCCCAGCAGCAGGGGTCCTCACACTAACCCCCTGCTCACATGGACCAGTCCATTCACGGGAAGATCCAGATCTGACTCTGGACAGACCCTCTGAGATTCCACTCACGTGAAAGCCCAAAACAGGCCCCACTGGCCCCAGCATGTCAGAGCATGGCTTTGAGCATGAGCATGGCGTTGAGCATGAGCACAGCCTTGAGCATGAGCACGGCCTTGAGCATGAGCACGGCATTGAGCATGAGCACGGCATTGAGCATGCCAGCAGGGCCTTGAGCATGAGCACGGCCTTGAGCATGAGCACGGCATTGAGCATGAGCACGGCATTGAGCATGAGCACGGCATTGAGCATGCCAGCAGGGCCTTGAGCATGAGCATGGCGTTGAGCATGAGCACGGCCTTAGCATGAGCACGGCATTGAGCATGAGCACGGCCTTGAGCATGAGCATGGCATTAAGCATGAGCATGGCATTGAGCATGCCAGCAGGGCCTTGAGCATGAGCACAGCCTTGAGCATGAGCATGGCATTGAGCATGCCAGCAGGGCCTTGAGCATGAGCATGGCATTGAGCATGAGCATGGCATTGAGCATGCCAGCAGGGCCTTGAGCATGCCAGCAGGGCCTTGAGCATGAGCAGGGCCTTGAGCATGAGCATGGCCTTGAGCATGCCAGCAGGGCCTTGAGCATGCCAGCAGGGCCTTGAGCATGAGCACGGCCTTGAGCATGAGCATGGTATTGAGCATGAGCATGGCATTGAGCATGCCAGCAGGGCCGGAACTCCCCACTGGGACCTGGGGCGGTTCACAGGCTTAGATGGGTAAGAATTCCCATACTGCCTCTGAAGATTGGTGTCTTTTTGTTGTTGTTGTTTTTAAGACGGAGTTTCGCTCTTATTACCCAGGCTGGAGTGCAATGGCGTGATCTCGGCTCACCGCAACCTCTGCCTCCTGGGTTCAAGCAATTCTCCTACCTCACCCTCCCGAGTAGCTGGGACTACAGGCTGCACCACCACACCCAGCTAAGTTTTTGTTTTTTGTTTTTCTTTTTTTGAGATGGAGTTTCGCTCTTGTTACCCAGGCTGGAGTGCAATGGCGTGATCTCGGCTCACTGCAACCTCTGCCTCCTGGGTTCAGGCAATTCTCCTGCCTCAGCCTCCTGAGTAGCTGGGATTACAGGCGCGCACCACCACGCCCAGCTACTTTTTTGTATTTTTAGTAGAGACGGGGTTTCATCATCTTGACCAGGATGGTCTCGATCTCTTGACCTCGTGATCCACCCGCCTCGGCCTGCCAAAGCTCTGGGATTATAGGAATGAGCCACCGCACCCGGCTGGATTGGTGTCTTCACTGTGTGAATGATACACTCCAATAAAACATTTCCTCTCTCCCCAAAAATGCACTCAGGAGAGAGAGGCCTGGACCTCAGCTCCTCCACCACGAGCCCAGAAAGGGTGGCGGCCCCAGGGGAGGGAGTGTCAGTGTGATAACCTGCTTTCTGCCAGCTAAAACGAACTCTCTCAGACTAAAAGCTGTTCAGGCTTTATGTCAGCTTCTTGAGCCGGACAGACTCCATCTGAGCTACTTCATTTTAGTTATTTTCCCACCATTAAGTGTGTAACTGTAGTATGTAGCTGGGGCAGGCTGACACTGGGCACCCAGGAAGGCATTTGTTGATAAGAGGCTGAGTTAAGTGCTACCAGCAGAGCCTGGGAATGCAGGTGCAGTGAGCGCCCAGAGCCTGTTATCTATCAGTTGTACGTCTTTCACGACAGCTTCACCCCTGGCACCTGGCACTGTTTTATTTCTCATGTACCAGTTTATCTTTTAACTTTTTGCTTACTCTGCTTTTGTGAAAGATTGGCTTCAGCTAATTTCCCCCTCCCTTTTAAAACTAGGGTATAAAAGACCCCCTAACTTTTTCGTAGGGGCCGAGAGAATTTTGGGCATTAGCCATCTCTCGGTTGCCAGCATAATAAAGGACTCATAATTCAATCTCAGAGTGTGGCGTATTCCTTGACTGGCTCAGGTACAACATCAGGAGGTGGGAGCTGTGTGGCTGGGGTGGGAATTGGGGCTTGGGTCGGCTCCAGGATTTCCTTCCGCCCTGTGCGCTCCTCCACCAGCCCGGTGGCTTCGCCAGGCGCCCTCCGTTGGGGGCTGGCATGGGGGAGGAGGCATGGGCAAGCTGGGTAGGTCCCCCGGCAGAGGCTCCAGAAGCCCAAGTGAAACTAGGCGGCGGTGCATGCAGCGCGTTTCAGCTGGGCGGGGGCGCCCCAGACCCCTGTGCAGGCGTGCGCTCAGCCCGGGGCGGTTTGGTAGCAGGCGCAGCGCAGAGGCCGGGGCTCGGGTGGCCAGTGCCGTCCTCCCCCAGCGCTCCGGGACCTGACGCCGCGCCCCTGCAGGCAGCGAGGGCCCTAAGCAGCTGGGCTGCCAGCAGGAGCTCCGCACCCTGGAGCAGCACCACCGCGATGACGTAGCCTCCCGCGGCCGCCAGATTCGCGCGCAGCCACTGCTGGAGCGGCGGGCCGCAGCCCTCCAGGTACACCACTCTCTGGGCTGTGTCCGCATCCAGGCCCAGGACTCCGAAGCCGCACTGGTCATTGACAGAGGCTCCATCTTCGCGGGGGTCGATGCAGCAGGAGGCGGGAAGGCTGCAGGCCTGCACCCCTGGGGAGCTGCAGTTGAAGTACCTGTGAGACAAACGGGGGTGGCGTCATCTCTGGAGGGGAGGGCCCACTCTTCCGAAGCCAGGCACGGAGGTGAAGGTTGCCTACCCACCTCCACCCTCCCATGGCCACACAGGCACATGCACATACAGACACACATCCACATATTCACACACACCGACCCACACAGCACCCAGCTCTCTCTGCTGTATCCCTGTGCATGGCAGCCCTCTGGCTTGCAGGCAGCGGTGGCGGCTGCAGAGACTAGCAGGAGAATAGTTAATACGAAACAGACCAGCACTGATGAGGGTGGAAGTGAGAGGACTTCCCTCCGCAGAGGCTGCTCGCTCATGTGAACTCATTGAGGAAGTAGAGTTGGAGTGGGGAAGGGTGGATGGAGCTCTGGCAGAGGATTCTGGAATGGTCCACAGGTCTTACTGGTTAGAGCAGGGGCTTGAGAGGCAGTACCCAGCAGTGACAAAAAGCAAGGGTGGGGGAGGAATCCCCAGGGTGGCTTGGGAGTGTTGAACTCATCACAGCCCCCAGGTCAGGCAGTCCCCAGGTGCCCTAGGCATTCACTAGTGTCCCGGGCTCTGCACGTGACCCAGCAAACCTGCAGGCTCATCCCCACGGCCCCTCCACTCTAGAAGAGTATGCCATTCCCAGGCAGGGGACGGGGTTGAGGCTGGCAGCAGACGAGGCATCATGACATTCTAGGGGGGCTGCCACCAACCCAGTCACATGTGGCCAAAAAGCAACCTATGTGGTGCTTCCCAGAGTCTGGTGCCCCACCCAATAGCCACCGCTGGGTACCGATGGCCAGTTTTTAGGGTCGCCTATGACTTCATCTCTTGTGTTCAGTTGCCCCTGGATACACGCACCAAGAAGTCGTGGGAGACAGAGGGCATACTGTCTGTCCTGGGTGTGGCATGGAGAGCAGGGTATGCATGCACTGGGGATAACTGATAAAACAGGCAGCTAGCCAGGCACAGCAGATCATGAGGTCAGGAGATCGAGACCATCCTGGCCAACATGGTGAAACCCTGTCTCTACTAAAAATACAAAAAAATTAGCCAGGCATGGTGGCCCGTGCCTGTAATCCCAGCTACTTGGGAGGCTGCAGCAGGAGAATAGCTTGAACCAGGGAGTTGGAGGTTGCAGTGAGCTGAGATCGTGCCACTGCACTCCAGCCTGGCGACAGAGCAAGACTCTGTCTCCAAAACAAAAAACCAACCAGATAGCTACCCCCAGGCAGAACATAAGAAAATCCTGCATTGGATCCTAAGTGGACAGTGTTTAATAACACTCACAGTGGAGGGAAAATTGTGGAGTCAGATTCTAGAATTACATCCATAATTAACCTAAAAGTCATTTTCTTTTTTCTTTTTCTTTTGAAATGGAGTCTAGCTCTGTTGCCCAGGCTGGAGTCCATGGTGTGGTCCCGACCCCTGTACAGGAGTGTGTAGGTGTACACATGTGAAACTTGTGAGCACATGAGACATGCTGGTGTGGATGTGGGTGTATGTGTACGTGCATGTGGCATGCAGGAATGAGTGTGTGCACGTGACTGTGTGCGCATGAGTGTGTGTGCCTCTGGCCCCTGTGCGGCCCCGCCCCTCACCCACTCCAAGACTCACAGGTTGTGCTGCCAGTCCTGGTAGGAGGCCGCCCCGCAACACCTCAGCCCAAGCTGAACTTGGTCGATGAGGAAGCGCAGGTCTGGGTCGTCCTGGTAGTGGGTGATGGCCACTCGCAGGGTGTGCTCCAGGCTGTCTTGCAGAGGGCCCCAGAGGGCCACTACCAGTGCCCCCACCATGGCTTCGAGCACCAGGAAGGCAAGGATGCCCCCCGAGAAGCCATGTAACAGGCAGGTGTTCTCACAGAGGGCACCCAGGCAGCCAGCCAGGCTCACTGCACTGACTGCCAGTCCCCCCAGTGCCAGCCCCAGCATGGGGTCTGAGGGCAGGGGCCCCCCCAGATCACTTCCCAGAGACCCCCTGACGGCCAGGCCCCAGAGCCCGATGGCCAGGGCCAGCAGGCCCAGCAGGGTGAATAGGAAATTGGACAGGAAAATCAGATACTTGACACAGCTGCTCCCTGCAGAGAGGGAAGGGGCTGTGCCTTTCCCAGAGGTGGCCTTCAAGGCCTGGGGTTTGGTCCCCGAGGGACAGCAGCTGCAGTCCCAGCCCTCTGCCTGGTCCTCCCAGGGCACTGGACCTGGGCAGTCAGAGGTGGGTAGACTTCGCGCAGAGAGGGGCACCTTCTGGCCTGCGGCATCCTGCAGAGAGGAGAGGAACAGGGTGAGACCTCCTTCATTCACATTCTGTAACAATCGGAGAGGGGTCAGGGAAGAGCACAGTGGCAGAGCCTTGGAAGAATGGGAGAATGCCGGATGGTGGAGGGCAGAACTGGAGCTCAGAGACTCAGACAGTCAGGGGCAGGGGGCCCTCAGGCCTGTGCAGCTCAACTGGGTGGCTGAAGGGACAATGAGGGTCCCAGCTCTGCTACCTACTGGTGTGTGGGACCCCACCTTTAGAAGAGGGTGATAAGCAGCCCCTGCCAGGTTGGGCGAAGATGGAACTGGGCAGTGCTCAGTGAGTGCACCCGCTCCCTCCCTGTCCCAAGTGTTGGTGGTGAGGCCTCCCTAGGTGGGTTGGGGCTCCCCCTGGCTTTCCTGCAGTGCAGGCCTGTGGTGGTGCGTCTGCATCCCCAGAGTTTGAAACAGCATCTGTCTGTACCAGTCTCTGTGCCTGCAGCGTGGACCTTGCACAGTCACAGAGGGGGTTCCTCACCAGCCAGAGGGGCTGGCCCACGTGGCTGCCCTTTCCCTGCCCTCTGAAACCAGTGCCCATATCCCAGCACCCATTCATTCCCACCAACAGCCCACACTGAGTGTTGACACTGCACTGGGCTCTGCCCAACAGGCTCCTAGGACAGGAAGGAGGGTGTCTGGGAGCCCAGGGAGACCACCTGTGGGTGGCAGGGCTTTCAGAGGGGACCCTCTGGCCCACTAACAAAACGGGCCTGCTGGTCTCTCTCTGTGGGGGAAGAGGCAGCCCTGCAGGTGCCCAGTTCTGCCAGGGACAGAGTTTTATTAAAGAGGAGAATAAGAAGCCATGTCGGGCCGGACGTGGTGGTTCACGCCTGTGATCCCAGCACTTTGGGAGGCTGAAGAGGGCAGACTGCCTGAGTTTGGGAGTTCGAGACCAGCCTGACCAACATGGAGAAACCCTGTCTCTACTAAAAATACCAAAAAAAAAATAATAATAATAATTAGCCAGGCGTGGTGGCAGGCGCCTGTAAGCCCAGCTACTTGGGAGGCTGAGGCAGGAGAATCTCTTGAACCCGGAGGTGGAGGTTGCATTGTGCCACTTCACCCCAGCCTAGATGACAGAGTTAGACTGTCTCAATAAAATAAATAAATAACAATAAAAACCAATAATAAAGAAAAATTAAATAATAAAGAAAAATAAAAAGGAGTCCTGTCTATGTGCTGGGAAAGGATCCCATTCCAATCCAGTTTCACCGGGAAGAAGCTGAGTGTAGCAACAGGATGTTGGCTCACTGCAGCCTCAAACTCCTGGGCTCAAGCCATCCTTCCTCCTCAGCCTCCTGAGTAGCCTGGGACTGCAGGCACTGCCACCACATCCCGGTCATTCTTTTAAATTATTTTTTGTAGGCCGGGTGCGATGGCTCACACCTCTAATCCCAGCACTTTGGGCAGATCATGAGGTCAGGAGATCGAGACCATCCTGACCAATGTGGTGAAACCCCATCTCTGCTAAAAATACAAAAGTTAGCTGGGTGTGATGGTGCATGCCTGTAATCCCAGCCAATCAGGAAGCTGAGACATGAAAATCACTTGAACCCGGGAAGTAGAGGTTGCGGTGAGCTGAGATTGTGCCACTGCACTCCAGCCTGGCAACAGAGCAAGACTCTGTCTCAAAAAAAATTTTTTTAAATTATTTTTATTTTTATTTTTTGAGACGGGGTTTCACCATGTTGGTCAGGCTGGTCTCAAACTCCTGACCTCAGGTGATTCGCTTGCCTTGGCCTCCCAAAGTGCTGGAATTACAGGCGTGAGCCACTGCGCCCAGCCAAAAATAATAATTGTTTGTAGAGACAAGGTCTCGCTACATTGCCTAGGCTGGTCTTGAACTCCTGGGCTCAAGCAATTCTCCCTCCTCAGCCTCCCAAAGTACTGGGATTACAGGAGTAAGCCACTGTGTCCACTCCCAGAGGAGGGTCATTTATCAGCCCCACAGACCTCAACAAGTCACTAGAATCAAAAGGGCAGGCTGCCAGTGCCTGGTTGTCCAGACTGCGGCTGCTGGAGGCCAGGAGCTGTTGGAGGCTGGCTGCAAGGGACCTTTGCCTTCATCCCCTCCTGCACCCTGAGCCAGAGGTTGCCCCCAAGGCCCTCAGGGAGACCCAGCAGATCCAGAGGCCAGCATGGGGCCGAGAGAACTATAGCAGTGGGGAAGCAGGAGGGGACTGCTTAGAACCACCTCCCAACCTAATCTCAGCATCGAGGTGTGGGGTGGCACCAGGGGTGGGGGTGGGTATGAACCAGCCCAGGGACCTCCCTTGGGACCTCAGGGCTGGGGGCATCTCCAACCTCAGCAAAGGCCACTTGGCACTGCTCACCTGGGGCAGTAAGGGGCTCTTCTCCCCCTCCTCCATCCTTGACACTGGCACAGAAAGCCCCCCAGCACGGGCGCCGGGAGAGGTTGACTGGCTCCTCTGTGGCTGGGCTGCTAGGCTGGTCCTGCCCGTGGCCCTGGGCTGCTCTGTGAATGGTGCAGCCCTGGGCATGAAAACGGGGGAGCTGCAAGCCCTACCCAGATGCCAGAGTCACAGCTGAGTCATGTGAGGAATCACATTTTAGAGCTTAAGGCGGTCTCTGCTTGTGGAGACACATTTCTCCCCAGCGCTGGCTCTGTGGATCTCCTAAGCTCTGCGCAGGTGCGACTTGGGCAGGGATGTTTGGGTGCAGCCTTGTGGCTGTCACTGCAGGGCCCCCGTGCGGACTTCAGCTCGGCAGGGTCAGCAGCCACTCCATCAGCTCCCAACCAGGGAGTCAGGCCCCTGCAAACAACTCCAAAACCAAGAGACCCATTGGCAGCCCCAGTGCCAATCTATCCCCCCGGGTTTGTTCACTGCAAGAATGAAACAGTGTTGGCTGGGCCACTGTACTCCAGTCTGGGTGACAGAGCAAGAATCTTTCTCAAAAAAGAAAAAAAAATTAGCCAAGTGAAGTGGCATGCACCTGTAATCCCAGCTACTCAGGAGCTATTGCAGTGAGCTGAGATCCTGCCACTGCACTCCAGCTTGGGCGACGGGAGTGAGACCCCAGTCTCAAAAAAAAAAAAAAGACAAACAAAAAAAAAAACCAAAAAACCGGAGAAACCACATCTATTGACAACTTGATCTGGGATTCTAGTTCTAGGACTGTTAGAAAGTAATTCCAAACCGGCCAGGTGCGGTAGCTCACGCCTGTAATCCCAGCACTTTGGGAGGCCGAGGCGGGCAGATCACAAGGTCAGGAGTTCGAGACTAGACTGACCAACATGGTGAAAACCTGTTCCTACTAAAAATACAAAAATTAGCTGGGCGTGGTGGCGCATGCCTGTAGTCCCAGCTACTCAGGAGGCTGAGGCAGGAGAATTGCCTAAATTTGGGAGTCGGAGGTTGCAGTGAGATCATGCCACTGCACTGCAGCCTGGGCAACAGAGTGAGACTTTGTCTCCAAAAAAAGGAGAAGAAAGTAATTCTAAACCACCAGTCTGTCATGGTAAAACCACCTTTGCAAAAATTATAACTGAGACAATTATTACAGTTAAAGGGATGGGACTTAGCTGACTCCATCTAGCTTCTAACCTCCAAGCTGTCCTTATTCATTTCTGGGTATAGGCTGAACTAACTTCGGGAGGCACTTAGTTTATAGTTTAGCTTTGAAGCAAAGGTGATAACAACCCTTTTTCAAAACAAACTCCCTTCCTACCTGGGGACAAGACTGCCTTTTCAGGATTAACAAATTAGCCACAACATTATAAATTATGGTTTAGGAGTTATGCGGCTGGAGGCTACAAGATTTTTTTTTTTTTTTTTTTTTTTAAAGATGGGGTTTCATCATGATGGCCAGGCTGGTCTTGAACTCCTGACCTGAGGTGATCCACCCACCTTGGCCTCCCAAAGTGCTGGGATTACAGGTGTGAACCACTGCATCTGGAGAGGCTACAAGATTCTAAGTCTCCCAAATTGCTCCTCAGGATAACATCTCCATTGTAAAACAGATCAGCTCTGAAGATATTTTGTAGACCCTGCTCTCCATGGTTCAGCTGGCACCACCCAGATTGATAAACTGGCTCATCTGGTCTGTGGCCTCTGACCCAGGAACTGACTCAGCCCAAGAGGACAATTTTGACTCCCTGTCATTTCATCTCTGACCCAACCAATCAACACTCCCTACTTTCTGACCCCATACCCACCAAATTATCCTTTAAAACTCTGTTCCCTGGCCAGGCCTGGTGGCTCACACCTGTAATCCCAACACTTTGAAAGGCCAAAGCGGGTAGATTGCCTGAGGTTGGGAGTTGGAAACTAGCCTGTCCAACATGGAGAAACCCTGTCTCTAGTAAAAATACAAAATTATCTGGGCGTGGTGGCTGTCGCCTGTAATATCAGCTACTTGGGAGGCTGGGGCAGGAGAATCGCTTGAACTCGGGAGGCAGAGGTTTTGGTGAGCTGAGAAAACACCATTGCACTCCAGCCTGGGCAACAAGAGCGAAACTGTCTCAAAGAAAAAAGAAAAAAAAAAAACCCTCCAATCCTCGAATTTTCGAGGATACTGATTTTTTGAGTAGTAATAAAACCCCAGTCCCTGGTAACCCGAACAGCTGGCTCTAGGTGAATGAAACTCTTTCTCTATTGCAATTGGCCTGTCTTGATAAAGTCTAGGCAGTGGGCAGGGACCACCCATTGGGCAGTTACAATGGCAGTCTGAGCAAACTAATAGAATTACTAACATAATTTAATCAATCAATATAATTTAACATAGTTAAAAAGAACTCTCAAATTGTGATGTTGTGAAATATGTATATATTTGGTCTTCCAGTTTCCTGGCATGCAGCTCCTAAAATCCTTAGATCTGTGAAGTGGTGTCTTTTTTCTGTTTTTTTTTTTTTGAGATGAAGTCTCACTCTGTTGCCTGGACTAGAGTGCAGTGGCATGATCTTGGCTCACCGCAGCCTTGACCTCCTGATCTCAGGTGATTCTCTTACCTCACTACCTCAGCTTCCTGAGTAGCTGGGATTATAGGAATGAGCCACTTCACCAAGCTAATTTTTTTTTTCCTTTTTGAGATGGAGACAGTCTTGCTCTGTCACCCAGGCTGGAGAAGGGTGACCCCATCTCCGCTCACGGTGACCTCTGCTTCACAACTTCAAGTGATTCTCCGGCCTCAGACTCCTGAGAATCTGGGAATATAGGCATGCAAGACCACATCCGGGTAATTTTTTTTTTTTTTTTTTTTTTGAGGCGGGGTTTCACTCTTGTTTCCCAGGATGGAGTGCAATGGCGCGATCTCGGTTCACTGCAACCTCCGCCTCCTGGGTTCAGGCAATTCTCCTGCCTCAGCCTCCTGAGTAGCTGGGATTACAGGCAAGAGCCACCATGCCCAGCTAATTTTTTGTATCTTTAGTAGAGACGGGGTTTCACCATGTTGACCTGGATGGTCTCGATCTCTTGACCTCGTGATCCACCCGCCTCGGCCTCCCAAAGTGCTGGGATTACAGGCTTGAGCCACCGCGCCCGGCCTCAATTTTTGTATTTTTATTAGAGATAGGTTTCACCATGTTGGCCAAGCTGGTCTCGAATTCCTGACCTCAGATGATCCACCTGCCTCCGCCTCCCAAAGTGCTGAGATTACAGGCGTGAGCCACCGTGCCTGGCCTAATTTTGTTTCACCATGTTGGCCTGCTGGGTCTTGAACTTCTGGCCCCAGGAAATCTGTCCACTTCAGCTTCCCAAAGTGTTGGGATTACAGCCGTAAGCCACCGCGCCCGGTCTGAAATGTAGTTTTTTTATTCATTTGTTTTTCTCATGTTAAAATTTTTTTATTTTTTCTTTTTTTGTTAATCAATGAGAGCTTCTTATGTTGCTCAGGTTGGCCTTGAACTCATAGCCTCGCCTCCTCAAGCGCCAGGACAACTGGCCAGAGCCACCGCAGCTCCCGTCTCATGTTAAATTTAAAAAAAGACTTAAAAAAAATAACAAAGGTGTGGTCCTCTCCCTGAAATTGTTTCTCTCCTTAGCTGTGCATGGAGGGAAGTTTGGAATGCTATTTCCCCAATTATAATTCGCTGTAATACGCAGCAGTAGCTATTTTTGGGTGAGATTTCGGATGCTTGTCTTTGCCTCCTTTTTGGGCTTTTCTGTACAGCTTGCGTTTCCGAGGACGAGCATTTGTTGTCATCGACGGGGCATTTTTCCAAAATTCGCCTCCTCGCGGTGCCGGGAGGGGAGGCGGGTCCACGGCACCACCCTGCGCATGCGTCCAGTCGTTGCTGGGACCGGAACCTGGTTTCCCGGCCGCGCGCCTAGGGGAGAGTCTTGAGCGAGGCACCAGGACGTCGGCGGCTGGCGGAGCCGGGCGGGCGAAGCTGGAGCGGCGGTTGCGGCGGCGTAGGGAGGCCGGGGCCGGGTCTGAGGCCGCGGCCGGGTCTGCGAGGCCCTTGGGGCAGCAGGCGGCGGCGGCCCGGGACTCGAGCCCGGAGGCAGGAGTGGCCACCATGGCCGAGAGCATCGTGAGTGCGGCAGCCGGGCGGGAGCGGGGACGCCGGGATGAGGCAGCAGATTTGCCGGCCGCGGCCTGCTGGGGAGGCGGGCCTGCCGGCCCCGCGACCGGGTTCCTTTCCCCTTTCTCACCCGGGCTTTCTCAGCAGAGGCTGGGCCCCCCTCGGCGACTTTCACCCCCTCGGCTGCTTCCCGTCCTTGTCCCTTCCCGGCGGACTCGCGACCCCGGTTCCCCGCCCTGGGCAGGGAAAGGCCGAGGCTTTCTGCAGGGAGAATTGACTGTGCCGAAGAGAAACCGCCCTCCTTCCTCACCCGGTTCCCGGCTCCAGGAGACTTCCTGGTCCAGTTCCAGGGACTCCCAGCTAGTCCTGCCCCTCTCAGAGCCAGGGCCACTTCTTACCCCAATCTCCCTCCGATTCTCTTCTACCGCTCTCCCCCTTCCCAGCAAGTGCCTTGTCATGAATCACTGAGGAGAGCAACTGCAGACGGGGACGTTACAGAGCTCCCTCCCCGCCGGTGGAGCTGGGAAAATGAAAACGCAGTAACTTCCCGGCTTTGCTCCTTCTAGGAAGGAAAACTTGACAACTCCTCTTTAAAAGGAATGTCATAAATGAGGTTGATTTAACTTTTTACCTGAAACTGAGAATTGTCAGCCGAGCGCAGTGGCTCACGCCTGTAATCCCAGCACTTTGGGAGGTCGAGGCGGGTGGATCACGTGAGGTCAGGAGTTCGAGACCAGCCTGGCCAACGTGACGAAACTCCGTCTCTACTAAAAGTACAAAAAATTAGCCGGTCGTGGTGCCTGGCGCCTGTAATCCCAGCTCCTTGGGAGGCTGAGGCAGGAGAATCGCTTGAACCTGGGAAGTGGAGGTTGCAGTGAGCCGAGATCGTGCCATTGCACTCCAGCCTGGGCAACAGAGTGAGACTGCATCTCCAAAAAAAGGAAAAACGAATTGTCATCCCTACCAAGGTAAAAAATGTCAGTGAAAAATCAGGGAAAACCAGCCCCTCGTTAACTTGTGAGAAGCTGTTCCCCAAAAGTAAATGTGATGGGGAAAAATTAACTGACTCTTGGACAGAATTTTGGTTAATTTTTTTTTTTTTTTGAGACAGTTTTGCTTTTGTTGACCAGGCTGGAGTGCAGTGGCCCTGTCTCGGCTCACTGCAAACTCCACCTCCCGGGTTCAAGGGATTCTCCTGCCTCAGCCTTCTGAGTAGCCGGGATTACAGGTGCCTGCCACAACGCCCGGCTAATTTTTTTGTATTTATAGTAGAGACTGGGTTTTGCCATGTTGGTCAGGCTTGTCTTGGACTTCTGACCTCTGGTGATCTGCCTCTCTCAGCCTCCCAAAGTGCTGGAACTTACAGGCATGAGCCACTGAGCCCAGCCGAATTTTGGTTAGTATTAAGAAAGGTTTGGGATTTCTGGGGGAAGCTGAGCAGTACTGGGTGAGGAGTAATGTTCATGCTGTAGTATTGTGACAGTCTCTGCAGTTTTACCAGGTGTCAAGAATCGGTCTTCAGGCCAGGCGTGATGGCTCACGCCTGTAATTCCAACACTTTGGGAGGCTGAGGTGGGTGGATCACAAGGTCAGGAGTTCGAGACCAGCCTGACTAACATGGTGAAACCCCGTCTCTACTAAGAATACAAAAAATTAGCTGGGTGTTGTGGTGCATTCCTGTAATCCTAGCCTCTTGGGAGGCTGAGGCAGGAGAATTGCTTGAACCTGGCAGGTGGAGGTTGCAGTGAACCGAGATTGCACCATTGCACTCCAGCCTGGGCCACTAAAGTGAACTCCGTCTCCAAAAAAAAAAAAGAAAAAAATGAGCTAAAGACAGATGATAATGCAAGAAATAGAAGCTCTGCAGTGCACTACCAGTCATTGCTGAGAGGAGAAGCTAGGACACCAGCACTTGCAGCATGCTCCTATCAGCCTCCTTCCCGTCTGCAGGTGGTTGGAGCAGGTCTTTGTTTGTTGCAGAGCATGCCATTTCATCCTCCCTATGTGAACAGGGACCTGTACTGTTGGCTAGGCATTATAGCTCACCTTCACAATGGCTTTCATCAGCATAAAAACGAAGTCGTCTTAGGAAGTAATGCTCTTTGTCCCATAGTATTCCAGATCTGCCCCCTTTTTAGGCTTACCATGGGAAAAAAAAATACTTAAAAAAAAAAAAAAATATATATATATATATATAAATAAAATACATACATATTAAATTAGGATGGAGTCAAGCGTGCTGTGTTGGCCAGGCTGATCTTGAATTCTGGGGCTAAAGGGATCCTTCTGCCTTGGCTTCCTGAAGTGCTGGGATTACAGGCATGAGCCACTGTGCCCAACCGAAAATATTTTTTTAAAACCCTGCTAAATTTTACCATTAATGACCATTGTTGTTTTTAACTTTAATCTCTCTCTCTTTTTTTTTTTTTTTTGAGGCAGGGTCTTACTATGTCACCCATGCTGGAGTACAGTGGAACCATCTTAGCTCACTGTAAACTTGACCTCCCTGGTTCAAGTAATTCTCATGTCTCAATTCCCCAAGTAGCTGAGACCACAGGCGTGTGCCACCATGCCTGGCTAACTTCTGTATTTTTAGTAGAGATGAAGTTTCCTTATGTTACCCAGGCTGGTCTTGAACTTCTCAGCTCAAGTGATCCATCACCTTGTCCTCCCAAAGTATTACAATTACAGATGTGAGCCACTGTGCCTGACCATATTAAAATCTTTTTTACAGAAAGTAAATAACAGCTAGGTGTGGTTGCTCATGCCTGAAATTCCAGCACAGTGGCAGAGTCACCTGAGCCTAGGAGCTTGAGACCAGCCTGGGCAGTATACTGGTGATACTCCATCACTACAAAAAAAAAAAAAGAAAAAATTAACCTGAACTGGTGGTGCAGGCCTGTGGTCCCAGGGACTTAGGAGGCTGAGTTCAGAGGATCACTTGAACCTTGGAGGTCAAGGCTGCAGTAAGCTGTGATTTTGCTACTGTATTTCAGCCTGGGTGACAGCAAGACCCTGTCTCAAAAAAGTAAAAAAAAAATAAGTAACAATTAGAAAATTTCCTATGATTCTTTTAATTGTAGGACTCTTAAAGACTGTCTAAAGTTTGTGTATAGATCCTGGAACAAAGAACATCTTTTATAAAGAACACGGTTCCTTCATGGTTCATGGTGGGTTTTTTTTTTTTTTTCCAAGTTAAGCCTGGAGATAGTTTTTAAGTTTGAAGAGTCAAAAAGCATTTCACATATACTCTATAAATAGTGGTTAGGAAATAAAGTTGTTTTCCAAGTGAAACTAAGGGTTGAGAGGACAGTACTCTTTTTTTTTTTTGAGACGGAGTTTCACTCTTGTTACCCAGGCTGGAGTGCAATGGCGCGATCTCAGCTCACCGCAACCTCCGCCTCCAGGGTTCAGGCGATTCTCCTGCCTCAGCCTCCTGAGTAGCTGGGATGACAGGCATGCGCCACCACGCCCAGCTAATTTTTTGTATTTTTAGTAGAGACGGGGTTTCACCATGTTGACCAGGATGGTCTCGATCTCTTGACCTCGTGATCCACCTGCCTCGGCCTCCTAAAGTGCTGGGATTACAGGCTTGAGCCACCACGCCCGGCCATGGCTTCATCTTCTAGAAAGATTGAGCTGAGTATTGAAAAGTGAAGAGTGACGTTTCGCCCTTTTTTTTTTTTTTTTTTAAATCCAGATCACAGGAGAAGGATTTAAATGAGGTTTGGCTTTAAATTTTAGTGACTCAGATGCTAAAAGACCACAGCTTTAAGCCTTAGCAGTAGAGAAGGACCTCACTAGGCTGTGCAGTAACCATCATATTTTATTTACAACAGATAATTCGTGTCCAGTCCCCAGATGGAGTGAAGCGGATCACAGCAACAAAGAGAGAAACAGCAGCAACATTTTTGAAAAAGGTATCCATGGCTTGGGTATTTACCCTCAGGATCTTTCTCATCCTCTACTGTTACTCCCACCAATACCTTTTCTTTTTTCCCCATTTTTTTATTTTCCCTAGTCCCAAATAGCCCCTTGCATTGCTTTTCTCTATCTTGGTTGGGTTGGATTGCTATAGGATGAGATGTTTGTCACAGCTGATCACTGCTCAGAATTATAGGACCGAGAGCCCAAAGGTATATGTAAAAGTGTTTCACAAGAGTGGTCGGGTGCAGTGACTCACACCTGTAATGCCAGCATTTTGGGAGGCTGAGGTGGGAGTTTGAGACTAGGGTGTCCAACATGGTGAAACCTTGTCTCTACTAAAAATACAAAAATTACCTGGGCATGGTGGTGGGTGCCTGTAATCCCAGCTACTCAGGAGGCTAAGGCAGGAGAATCACTTGAATCTGGGAATCAGAGGTTATAGTAAGCTGAGATTGCACCACTGCACTCCAGCATGGGAGGCAGAGCCAGGCTTTGTTAAAAAAAAAATTATTTCACAAGAATAATATTTATGAGAGTGTCCGGGCGTGGTGGTTCATGCCTGTAATCCTAGCACTTTGGGAGGCCGAGGCAGGTGTATCACTTGAGATCAGGACTTTGAGACCAGCCTCACCAATATGATGAAACCCTGTCTACTAAAAATACAAGAATTAGCTGGGCGTGGTGGCATGTGCCTGTGATCCCAGCTCCTCAGGAGACTGAGGCATGAAACTTGGGAGGTGGAGGCTGCAGTGAGCTGAAAACGTGCCATTGCACTCCAGTCTGGGCAACAAGAGCAAAACTCCGTCTAAAAAAAAATAAAAGGGGCCGGGCGTGGTGGCTCATGCCTGTAATCCCAGCACTTTGGGAGGCCGAGGCGGGTGGATCACGAGGTCAAGAGATCGAGACCATCCTGGTCAACATGGTGAAACCCAGTCTCAACTAAAAATACAAAAAATTAGCTGGGCATGGTGGCGCGTGCCTGTAATCCCAGCTACTCAGGAGGCTGAGGCAGGAGAATTGCCTGAACCCAGGAGGCGGAGGTTGCGGTGAGTTGAGATCACACCATTGCACTCCAGCCTGGGTAACAAGAGCGAAACTCCGTCTCAAACAAACAAACAAATAAATAAATGGGAATCTTCTTTGTCATGTAGTCTGATCTTTTTTTTTTTATTTAACCCCTGAGTTGGAATCTTGCTCTGTTGCCTAGGCTGGAATATGGTGGAGTGATCTTGGTTCACTGCAACCTCCATCTCCTGGGTTTAAGTGATTCTCCCTCTTCAGCCTCCCCAGTAGCTGGTATTACAGGTGTGTACAACCACACCTGACTAATTTTTGGATTTTTCAGTAGAGACTGGGTTTCACTATTTTGGCCAGGCTGTTCTTAAACTCCTGACCTCAAGCAATCTGCCCACCTTGGCCTCCCAAAATGCTGGGATTATAGGTGTGAGCCACTGTACCTGGCCATTCCGATCTTTTTATTTTCACAAAGAGGATTGAAGGCTGGAGGAATAGAGATTTGCCGAGGATCACACTAGGTCTGTAATCTATTAGTGAAGTCACAGTGCTTATTTGGAAAATTTAGTTTCTGAAAGGTATCTGTCATTTCAATTGCTGTGCTTAAGGGACCACGTTGATAAGAATAAAAGGAAGAAGAATTAGATGCAATAGATGACAGAGAAGAGAATCTCTGCAGTCCAAAGTAGAGGAGAATCTTTGAGTCTTCAAGAAATTTTTAATAGCCTACTATTTGACATTTTACTAGCAGTTAACCATATTGGTTTGCTTCTAAGGATGATAGGATTCAGGAAATGGCTAGACTTCCTTTTTTTTTTAGTTAAGATCGCACCACCTCACTCTATCTTAGGCGACAGAGTAAGACTCCATCTCAAAATAATAATAATAAAATAAATAAGTAAAGTATAGGCCAGGCACGATGGCTTACATCTGTAATCCCAGCACTTTGGGAGGCCGAGGCGGGCGGATGACAAGGTCAGGAGATTGAGACCATCCTGGCCAACATGGTGATACCCTATCTCTGCTAAAAATACAAAAAAATTAGCTGGACGTGGTGGTGCATGCCTGTAGTCCCAGCTACTTGGGAGGCTGAGGCTGCAGAATTGCTTGAACCCAGGAGGCGGAGATTGCAGCAAGCTGAGATTGTGCCACTGCACTCCAGCCTGGGTGATAGTGCGAGACTCTGTCTCAAAAAAATAAAAATAAAAAAGGCCAGGTGTGGTGGCTCATGCCTGTAATCTCAGCACTTTGGGAGGCTGAAGCAGGCGGATCACCTGAGGTCAGGAGTTCAAGACCAGCCTGGCCAACATGGTGAAACTCTGTCTTCAAAAAAAAAAAAAAATGGCAGATTAGTGCCCTCAAAAAAAAAGAAAAGAAAGAAAAAGAAATTAAAAAAACAACTCCAGGCCAGTCATTGTGGCTTATGATACATTAAAACGAGACCCCATCTATGCAAAAAAACAAAGTAAGGAAAAGCTGGATGTGAGAGCATAGGCCTATAGTTCTAGCTACTTAGGAGACCGCAAAAAGATTAAAAAAAAAAAGAAAAAACACCCGGTTGGGCACAGTGGCTCACGCCTATAATCCCAGCACTTTGGGAGGCTGTGGTGGGTGGATCACCTGAGGTCAGGAGGTCAAGATTAGCCAGGCCAACATGGTGAAACCACGTCTCTAATAATAAGACAAAAAACAAACCCCAAAAAACTCCACCGTTCTCCCATAGCTCCTGGTCACCATGATTCTACCTTTTGTTTCATGAATTTGACTACTTCAGGTTCCTCATAAGTGAAAATTTGTTTGTTTTGTTTTTTTGAGACGGAGTCTCACTCTGTCACCCAGGTTGGAGTACAGGGGACTGATCTCAACTCACCTCTGCCTCAGCCTCCCGGGTAGTTGGGATTACCAGTGCCCATAACTATTCAGGGGTAATTTTTTTGTCTTTTTGGTAGAGATGCCATTTTGCCACGTTGGCCAGGCTGGTATTGAACTCTTAACCTCAAGTGATTGGCCTACGTTGACCTCCCAAAGTGCTGGGATTACAGGTGTGAGCCGCCATGCCAGTCTGTCATTAAATATTTTAATCAGTTATATTTTTTAGTAGAAAATAGGGTTAGTATATAAAAATGATTAAATTTAACTCCTTTTTCCTAATAGTACTTATTAGATCTTGCTCAGTTATTCCATATCGAAGGATAAATGCATCATCTGTATGAATTGAAGATATGACTGCAGTTGATTCAAAGAATCATCCCTGGCTCCTCCCTGGTCTCCTGACCTTCATTGTGTCCAGGATGTTCATGACAGTTTTTCTTTTTTTAATCAATTACAAAATATTTTACTTACCGTGATGATGGCATATTACGTACTTCCTGGCTTATCTTCACAGTTTCTTCCTTATTTGTTTTTCCCGTGGAGTTCCCTCAGACTGTTTCTGTCTGGTGTTATTTCTCTTCAGCCTGAAAAACGTCAATTAGGCGTTGTTGTAGTATAGGCTTGTTGGTCACAGACTCTTGGGATTTTTTGAAATGAAAATGTTTTCATTTTGCTCTTGTATTTATAGGAAGGATATTTTCATTTCATACCGATTTCTGAGCTGAGATTTCTTTTTTGTTCCCCTCATGTACCATTTTTCTTTTTTTGAGACATTTTTCTTTTTTTCTCACTCTGTTGCCACGCTGAATCTTGCCTCACTGCAGCCTCCACCTCCCGGGTTCAAGCGATTTTCCTGCCTCAGCTTCCTGAATAGCTGGGACCATAGGCAGGTGCCACCATACCTGGCTAATTTTTGAATTTTTAATAGAAACGGGGTTTCACTGTGTTGGCCAGGCTGGTCTTGAACTCCTGACCTCAGATGATCCACCCACCTCGGCCTCCCAAAGTGCTGGGATTACAGGCATGAGCCACCGTGCCCACTCCCCGCTTTTTTTTTTTGGCCTAGGTTGGAGTGCACTGGCTCAGTCACAGCTCATTGCAGCCTTGACTTTCTGGGCTCAAGTGATGTTCCACCTCAGCCTCCTGAGTAGCTGAGAATACAAGTGCATGCCACTGCACCCAGCTAATTTCTTAATTTTTTTGTAGAAATGGGGTTTTGCCATGTTGTCTAGGCTGGTCTTGATCGCCTCAAGTGATCCTTGCCACTTTGCCTCCCAAAGTGCTAGGATTCCAGGTGGGAGCTGCAGTGCCGAGCTATGTTCAGTGTTTGAAGCTGTCGTTCCACTATCTTCTTGTCTTCATTGGTCTCTGGGTTTCAGCAGTGTGACTCTGGTGTGCCTTGCAGTGGTGGTCTTTGTATCCTAACTCGAGAGAGTTTACTGAGCTTCCTGGATTTGTTATTTGATGTTATTTTTATCAAATTTGTGTTTTTTGGCCACTTCTTATTTATTTTTCTGTTCTTTTCTCATTCTTTGTTTTTTTTTTTTTTTTTTTTTTTTAGATGGAGTCTTGCTCTGTCACCCAGGCTGGAGTGCAGTAGTGGTAAGATCTCGGCTCACTGCAACCCTCACTTCCTGGGTTCAAGCAGTTCTCCTGCCTCAGCCTCCTGAGTAGCTGGGATTACAGGTGTGCACCACTATGCCAGGCTAATTTTTTTTTTTTTGAGCTGGAGTTTCGCTCTTGTTACCAGGCTGGAGTGCAATGGCGCGATCTCGGCTCACCGCAACCTCTGCCTCCTGAGTTCAATTCTCCTACCTCAGCCTCCCGAGTAGCTAGGACTACAGGCGTGCACCACCATGCCCAGCTAATTTTTGTATTTTTAGTAGAGACGGGGTTTCACCTTGTTGACCAGAATGGTCTCGATCTCTTGACCTCGTGATCCACCTGCCTCGGCCTCCCAAAGTGCTGGGATTATAGGCGTGAGCCACCGCGCCTGGCCCCTTTTTTTGTATTTTTAGTAGAGACAGGGTTTTACCATGTTGCCCAGGCTGATCTCAAACTCCTGACCTCAGGTGATCTGTTGACCTCAGCTTCTGAAAGCACTGGGATTACAGGTGCGGGCCACCGCACCTGATCCTTATACTATCCTGAGATGTGGAATCTTGCTTTGTTGCCCAGGCTGGGGTCCAGTGGTGTGATCTTGGCTCACTGCAACCTCCGCCTCCTGGGTTTAAATGATTCTCCTGTCTCAGCCTCCTGGGATTACAGGCGCGCGCCACCACGCCAGGCTGTTTTGTATTTTTAGTAGAGATGGGGCTCACTGTGTCTCCAACTCCTCTGACTTCGTGATCTGCCCTCCTTGGCCTTCCGAAGTTCTGGGATTATAGGTGTGAGCCACCCACCTGGCAGCCCTCATTCTTTCCTAGTGAGGATCATCTAATGCTATCCCATGAGTTTCTAAGGCTCTGTTCTTTTTTTTTTTTTTTTTAATTTCTGTCTTCAGATTATGTAGCTGTTATTTTTATTTATTGATTTTTTTTTCTTTTTAGAGTTGTAGTCTCACTCTGTTGCTCAGGCTGGAGTGGCAGTGGTGTGATCCTATCTCACTGTAGCTTTGAACTTCTTGGCTCAAGCAGTCCTCCCACCTCAGCGTCTCAAGTTGCTGGAACCACAAGCTATTCACCTATGTTTATGTTGACTTTTCTGCTCTCTCCCTTCTGCTGATAAGCCCATTCAGTGAATTTTTTATTTCCATTACTGTGTTTTGCAGTTTGAGAATTTTTATTTCATTGTTCTTTTATAATTTGTTTCTTTTCTACGATTCACATTCCTTTCATTTGGGTACTTGTACTCTAATGACCCCTAAATGTAGAGCTCTATCTGTGTGGCCCCTTTCCTGAGTTCAGACACAGATGCTCACCGGCCTGCTGGATGGCTTCACTGGAGTGTCTGGCTGTCATTTCAGATCTCAGTGTCAAATGGAAGTTCTGATTATCCCTCTAGTCTTCTTCCTTTTTTAACCTTTCCTTTCATGGTTCCCTCACAGGTGTTACCTCCACATAGTTATTCAATCTGGAATTCTCAGCTTTACTCTGACATTCTTCCTTTCTCTTGTTCCATTCCTGCCCCTGGTCCTGCTCATCAGCAGGGCCTAGCAATGCCCACCACTGGAAGGGGTGCTGTTGTCTCCATCCCCACCATCCTGTCCCTCTCCTCCCATTTCAGCCCATCTCTCTTGTCTCTAGGATTGGCACTCTGGCTTCCTCTTCATGGTGGTGTTGAGAAACAGGGATTTTGTGGACAATGATTCCTTCTGCTTTTAGTCTGTGCTTCCCACAGCTCTTGGGATAGAATCCCAGACCTCACGGCTCACGTGGTCCTGTGTGGCTGGCCCCATCTGCCTTGCCAGCCTCATCTCTTTCTATTTTCCTTCTTGTTTATTGGGCTCTGGCCTCCATGTTTCCAGTGCCCTTTCTGCCTCCTGGCCTTTGTGCTTGCTTCTGCTGCCTGTGGCCTTTTCTCCCAGCTCATACATGGCAGGCTTCAGAGAGACCTCTAGTCTCGCATCTGGGATGACTTTTCCTTTTCTGTCATAGTGCTTATGTTAACCTTTTTCTCCCCCATTTGATGGTAAACTGCTTAACAGCAGGAACCTTGTCTTTTTGTTTTTTGGAAACAGAGTCTTCTGTTGCCCAGGCTAGAGTGCAATGACGTGATATAGGCTCATTGCAATCTCTGCTTCCCAGGTTCAAGCGAGTCTCCTGCCTCAGCCCACTGACTGGCTGGGACTATAGGCATGTGCCACCATGCCCAGCTACTTTTGTATTTTTAGTATAGGTGGGGTTTCTCCATGTTGGTCAGGCTGGTCTCGAACTCCCGACCTCAGGTGTTCCACCCACCTCAGCCTCTTAAAGTGTTGGGATTATAGGCATGAGCCACCACACCCGGCTTGCTTCATACTGTTAGATGTGTTACAAAGTTTCATCGTTGACAACAAGACCTTTGCTTTTCTTGGCCACCTTTTTAATTTTAACTGACACCTTTGTGAGCAGTACAAATTTCTTTGAAATAACAAAATAACAAGAGGAATTTGTAAATGATGAGCACTTTCCAAATTTGGTGAATACTCTTCTAGTAATATCTGGGGAATGTGTGGCATGTGTAGTGATACTTAAATGTTTTAGTAAGTTTCTGTTCTTTGGGGCTTGTTTTAGGTTGCAAAGGAGTTTGGCTTCCAAAATAATGGCTTCTCAGTTTACATCAATAGAAACAAGACTGGAGAGATAACGGCCTCCTCCAACAAATCCCTCAACTTGCTAAAAATCAAGTAAGTGTCCTCTGAGGAGGAAGCTGGGAATGGGGGAAGATGAGACTTGCATGATCTGCCCAAGGTTGCCCAGTTTTATCCTCTTTCCTTTTCACACCACTCTGATTGTGGTCTTATTAATTGACCAGAATACATGCACCTGTATTGTTTGCCAGGGATTCAGTAATTATCTTGAATCTGCAGTTGCTATTGAGCAGATTTGATTGACTTTGCAGAATTCTGGAATTGGTGTCACTGAGGAGAAAGTTAGTGTCTTGGTCCATGTACGGCGTGAAGTATGCTGCATATTCAGCTGCTAGTCTGGAGTGAAAGACCTTGAACGCAGCTCTGTGTAGGGAAATCCCATTTGCCTGCTTGCTTGGGTAGGAGGGCCAGCAGCATAGTGGCCCACTGCCACCCCTTAGAGTTGGTTATTCAGAGACCTCTTATCACAGCCTGGCTACTACCTATTTTTGTAAAGTGTTACTGGAACAGAGCCAGGTCACGTTGTTCCTGCTGGTTTTCACGTTACAAGGGCAGAGTTGAGTAGTTGTAATAGACCGTGAGGCCTACAGAGCTAAAAGTATTGACCGTTTGGCCCTTTACAGAACAATTCTGCTGGCTCCTATCTAAACCATCTGGGCACTTGCTCACATATCCCTCAGATCAGTTCAGTCCTTAAGGAGCAAGCAGTCAGTTTTCCTCCTGACGCTGCAGGCAGTGTGTGCTGTGCCCACTGGCTCAGTGATGGGCCTGGGACCTGCTGGCAGTTGGCTGTTTACCAGCCAGAATGATAGGCTGTTTTGCACTTTGGTGACTTTTTTTTTTTTTTTTTTTTTTGAGACGGAGTTTCGCTCTTGTTACCCAGGCTGGAGTGCAATGGCGCAATCTCGGCTCACCGCAACCTCCGCCCCCTGGGTTCAGGCAATTCTCCTGCCTCAGCCTCCTGAGTAGCTGGGATTACAGGCACGCGCCACCATGCCCAGCTAATTTTTTGTAATTTTTAGTAGAGACGGGGTTTCACCATGTTGACCAGGATGGTCTCAATCTCTTGACCTCGTGATCCACCCGCCTCGGCCTCCCAAAGTGCTGGGATTACAGGCTTGAGCCACCGCGCCCGGCCCACTTTGGTGACTTTTAAGTTCACATATCAATATACCTAGGGAAACAATATGCAGTTGTAGCATTCATTGATTTGTTCTTCAGCAAAGAGTTACTGGGCACCTACTGTTTGCCTACCCCTGTGATAAGGTGAAACAAAACCTCTTACTGATGTCATTTCCAGAATGACCCTGGTTCATCCTTCCTTTGAGCTTGTGAAGGGTTTTGCATCTTGATAATTCCTTCTTTCTTTCTTTTCTTGAGACAGAATCTCGCCCTGTCACCCAGGCTGGAGTGTAGTGGTGTGATCATAGCTCACTACAGCCTTGACTTTCTGGGTTCAGGTGATCCTCCTGCCTCAGCCTCCTGAGTAGCTGGGACTACAGGCACATTTTTCACTTTTAAATATTCTATTTTATTCCTTTTCAAATCTGACTGATAATTTTTTTAAAAAAGTTTAAATCTAGAACACGTAACCATATTTAAAAATAAACAGAACGACTGTGAGTGCACATGTTCAGTCCCAGTCAGAGGAATTCTCTGCTCATGACCAGGCTTATGTCCCACTGTGCTTGCCCTTCTTCCTTTTTTCCTGTTGCTTGGCCTTTTTTTCTCCCTCCCCTTTTTAGTTATTAAACAAAATGTGTACTGAACACCTCAGAACAGTATGTGTCTTGATGAATGAATCTCATGTGTCACCATTGCAAGCACCGAACAGGTCCGGGATAAGGCACTGGCAGCTACCAGAAGCTTCTCCCTAATAGTTCCCACTGTACTGGCTTCTGTAATAAGCACAGGTTTGCATTTCTTTTCTTTTCTTTTCTTTTTTTTTTTTTTTTTTTGAGACGGAGTTTTGCTCTTGTTACCCAGGCTGGAGTGCAATGGCACGATCTCGGCTCACTGCAACCTCTGCCTCCTGGGTTCAGGCAATTCTCTTGCCTCAGCCTCCTGAGTAGCTGGGCTTACAGGCATGTGCCACTGTGCCCAGCTAATTTTCTGTATTTTAGTAGAGACGGGTTTCACTATGTTGACCAGGATGGTCTCGATCTCTTGACCTCGTGATCCGCCCACCTCGGCCTCCCAAAGTGCTGGGATTACAGGCTTGAGCCACCGTGCCCGGCTGCATTTCTTTATTCTTTCATTACTTGAGTGTCTATCCCTAGACACTGCCAATTAGTCTTGGTTTTTTTGGTTTCACCGTGTTAGCCAGGATGGTCTCTCTCAATCTCCTGATGTTGTGATCTGCCCTCCTCAGCCTCCCAAGGTGCTGGGATTATAGGCAGTTAGTCTTGCTTTTTTATTTTTTATTTTTTTGGAGATGGAGCCTCACTCTGTAGCCCAGACTAGAGTGCAGTGTCGCAACCTCGGCTCACTGCAACCTCCACTTCCCTTTCAAGCAATTCTCCTACCTCAGCCTCCCAAGTAGATGGGATTACAGGTGCGAACCATCATGCCCAGCTAAATTTTGTATTTTAGTAGAGATGGGGTTTCACCATGTTGGCCAGTCTGGTCTTGAACTCCTGACCTCGTGATCTGCCCTCCTCAACCTCCCAAAGTGCCAGGATTACAGGTATGAGTCACTGAGCCCAGCCAGTCTTGATTTTTTTTTTTTTTTTTGAGACGGAGTTTCGCTCTTGTTACCCAGGCTGGAGTGCAATGGCTCGGTCTCGGCTCACCGCAACCTCTGCCTCCTGGGTTCAGGCAATTCTCCTGCCTCAGCCTCCTGAGTAGCTGGGATTACAGGAACGTGCCACCCTGCCCAGCTAATTTTTTGTATTTTTAGTAGAGACGGGGTTTCACCATGTTGACCAGGATGGTCTCGATCTCTTGACCTCGTGATCCACCTGCCTCGGCCTCCCAAAGTGCTGGGATTACAGGCTTGAGCCACCGCGCCCAGCCTCAGTCTTGCTTTTTAAGGAAATTTATGTCTTACATCTTTTAGTTTCCACATCCTTTTCCTTTTCTTAAAATTTGTTGAGGAATGTGGTCCATTGACCTGTACATAGGGTTCCCCACCTCTGGGATCTTGCTGATTTCACGTTTGTAGATCTTGCTGATTTCACGTTTGTAGGACCCTTCAGTGTGACCCTCTGTGTCCTGGATTTCTTCCTGATCCGAAGTGGGATGCAGAGGCCTGAAAGACTCAGGCCTGTCTCTCAGCGGGACCCTGGGGTGCTGTGTACCTACCCCTCCTTTTTTTTGAGGCGGAGTCTCACCATGTTGCCTGGCTGGAGTGCAGTGGCACGATCTCAGCTCACTGTAGCCTCTGCCTTCTGGATTCAAGCAATTCCCCTGCCTCAGCCTCCTAAGTAGCTGGGATTACAGGTGCCCACCACCATGCCCAGGTAATTTTCATATTTTTAGTAGAGACGGGGTTTCACCATGTTGGCCAGGCTGGTCTCAATTTCTTGACCTCAAGTGATCCACCTGCCTTAGCCTCCCAAAGTGCTGGCATTAAGGGTGTGAGCCTGTATCCTCTCCCCGCCACCCTTTTGTTTTTTAGAGACAGGGTCTTTGTCGAACTGCTGTGAGCTGTGATTGTGCGCACCACTGCACTGCACTGCACCTGGGCAACAGAGCAAGACCCTGTCTCAAAAGTATATACATAAATAAATAATCTGACTTTTTTTTCCCCTGCAAACCTGGCTGTTGGCTTCAAGTGCTCACAGGGGCCATGTTGCTCCTGGTTTCTGCTCTGCTGTCACAGTGGCCCACCGGCCTCCAATGAAGACCACTGGGTGGCTGAGGGCTCCCCTGCGGGCTGTGAGACATGGGGGCCTACCTCTTCGTCTTGTGATGGTTGGCGCCTGCCTGTCCTGCTTGTGCCCCTGCCCCCTGCATTGCTGTTGATGCATCAGTGGGACTTGGCATGTGGGCTGTCTGTCTGCAGCAGGGAGATTTGGGGGGAGCCACTGACTTTGGCACTTGTCACCTCCACCTCCTAGAATCCCACCTGGTCATTTTGGATAGCCTCTGTCACTCACAGTTGTCTTCCATTCCATTGTTCATTTAACATCCCTTCTAGAAGTTGATATTCTGTCTCAGCTTCCATGCCTGAGTCCTTGGCAGTCTGACTCTGTTAATTATGTCTCTGCCCACTCTTTCTTGCATGGCAGTGTGTTACTCTTCTACATTTCTTTTTTGGTCCTTATGACAGGTTATGTTTGACCAAACTTGGTCTTGGGGAATTCCAAAGGATCCAGATTTAGCAGGTTTTCTACAGAGAAGGTTTACATTTGCTTTTGTTAGCACAGTGGGGTGCAGTGGACCTACAGCTCCTTTGAGTTAATTTCTGTCTTTGGGCTTTCTGAACCAAATGGCTTCTTCCCTGGTTCTGTCCCAGATGCATGGCACAGCAGGCCTTTAGTTACAGAGTCTCAGAGGTGACTTTTTTGGCTTATTTTGCTATGCACTGGATAGAGGCAGATGGAATTCCTCCTTGGTTCCTATTTTCAACTGGTGGGTTTTTCACAGCTGTTGAGGCATCCTTCAGTTTATGTGGGAGTTTGAGACTTAGCCCCCCACTCTCGGCAGGGAGGCTCAAGTCTTTTGTCTCCCAGTGCCCAGCAAACCTCTGTAGGCCCAAAGCTGTGGGTGAATTCCTGATAGTGGCCTTGGCCCCACCAGCAGCTCTGTGCTCTGTGTCGCTGGCTGCTGTCTGGGTTTGTCCCCTGGGGATTTCCTCCACTTTCTTTAGAGCTCAGCAATTGATTTTGGAGTATATTTGTTAAAATTGGTCTAGTGTCTAAGTCAAGTTTTTATATTAGTAGTTAGAAGGTGTTTAGGAATATCTATTCTGCTGATAGAAACAGATGTCTCAGGCCCAGCGCTATGGTTCATGCCTGTAATCCCAGCACTTGGGGAGGCTGACACAGGTGGATCATGAGGTCAGGAGATTGAGGCCATCCTGGCTAACTTGGTGAAAACTCATCTCTACTAAAAATCCAAAAGATTAGCCAGGCGTGGTGGCATGCACCTGTAGTCCCAGCTATTCGGGAAGCTGAAGTTGGAGAATTGCTTGAACCCTGGAGGTTGCAGTGAGCCAAGATAGTGCCACTGCACTCCAGCCTGGGTGACAGAGGGAGACTCCATCCTCCAAAAAAGAAACAGATGTCTCAGCTGGACACGGTAGCTCATGCCTATAATCCTAGCACTTTGGAAGGCCGAGGGGGGTTGATCATCTGAGGTCAGGAGTTCCAGACCTTTTTGGAAAGTATGTCAGCAGCTTCAGAGACAAACAGAAACCCTTAAGTCTGACAGGGCACTCCTGGGAGTTTACCTTTAGAAGAAAAATTGCAGGGACATCTGTCGGTGGGTGTTTTTGGGTGGTGTTGATGGTGGCAGAAACTGGCAGGCAGTGTGCATACTCCTCAGTGTGAGAGTGGCTGAGGGAGGAGTTAGGCAGCCTCACCGGGAATGTGCAGCCACTATCATAGCAATTAGACGTGGACCCCTTCTCTTTGGAGGATTTTATGAGGGGTTGTTAAAGGAGAAAAGTATGTCTCCGGTAATCCCACTTTTTTTTTCTCACCTTCTCCTCCCATTCCATTTTTTTTTTTAAATTTTTTATTGCATTTTAGGTTTTAGGGTACATGTGCAGAACATGCAAGACAGTTGCATAGGTACACACATGGCAGTGTGTTTTGCTTCCTTTCTCCCCTTCACCCACATTTGGCATTTCTCCCCAGGCTATCCCTCCCCAGCTCCCTTCTCCCGACAGTTTCTTAAGAAAATAGTTTTATGATATTATATAAAATAACTAACTTTACTTAATTCTCCCTTAACTAGGTCACCAAATAAGTATCCATATTGTGGATAATAGGAAACAATGCTGATTTCCAATCTTTCTATTTTATAGGGTTTTCATTAATGTTCAAAAATAATTACAATTGAGGATTTCCTGAAGTAGTACAGATTTCTGTCAACTTTCACCCTACATACTATATTCCAATAGTATTAGTTGAATGATTCTGGATAATTTTACATAATCTCAAGTCTTTAGCCTTAAGAATTTAAGGGCTTTGATATTACTTCCTAGCCTAGTATAACCAAGCAAAAGATTACTAACTCTCAAAACAAGATGAATAAGAGTTTTAATTTGGTATACTTAATAGGCAAAGTCTCTATGAGTAGGCAAATCTGCATGTTGTTTTTCTTTCAGGCTTGGTTTTAGGTTCACTATCTCTCTCTCTCTTTCAGGAACACTGCACAAAGTTATTTGTATTTGAGCTCCTTAGAGAAAGAGTACAAATTGTTTACAACTAGTTTTTTCTTTTTTTTGAGACGGAGTTTTGCTCTTGTTACCCAGGCTGGAGTGCAATGGCGTGATCTTGGCTCACCGCAACCTCCGCCCCCTGGGTTCAGGCAATTCTCCTACCTCAGCCTCCTGAGTAGCTGGGATTACAGGCACACGCCACCGTGCCCAGCTAATTCCCATTCCATTTTTTAAAAGCAGAGATAGTTCCCTTTCGTGTCTGTGCTTACGTGTGTATGTGAGCACCGAGGAAGCAGTGACAGTTCCCTGCATGTCTGTGCTTAAGTGTGTATGGGAACACCAAGGAAGCAGTGACAGTTCCATGTGTGTCTGTGCTTAAGTGTGTATGTGAGTGCCGAGGAAGCAGTGACAGTTCCATGTGTGTCTGTGCTTACGTGTGTATGTGAAGCAGTGAAGATGCATGTGACAATCACATGCAGTGTTGGGAGCGGAGGAGCCTTCTGGAGGGCAGAAGAATGCCTGAGGGAGGCAGGGGCCAAGCAGAGGGTGAGACTGGGAGGAGAGGGAAGCTTCTCAGTAAGGTAAAATTGTAAGAGAAATTAAATTCCAGAGAACCTGCATACTCATTTTTATAATGCCAAGAAACATAGGGGAGATGTTAGAAGAGAATTCTGGTCTTAAAATTAGAAAGCTCGGCCAGGCGTGGTGACTCATGCCTATAATCCCAGCACTTTGGGAGGCCAAGGCAGGCAGATCACCTGAGGACGGGAGTTCGAGACCAGCCTGACCAACATGGAGAAACCCCATCTCTACCTAAAATACACAAATGGCCGGGCGCGGTGGCTCAAGTCTGTAATCACAGCACTTTGGGAGGCCGAGGCAGGTGGATCACAAGGTCAAGAGATCGAGACCATCCTGGTCAACATGGTGAAACCCTGTCTCTACTAAAAGTATAAAAAATTAGCTGGGCATGGTGGCGCGTGCCTGTCATCCCAGCTACTCAGGAGGCTGAGGCAGGAGAATTGCCTGAACACAGAAAGCGGAGGTTGCAGTGAGCCGAGATCGCGCCATTGCACTCCAGCCTGGGTAACAAGAGCGAAACTCCGTTTCAAAAAAAAAAAATAAGTAAAATAAAAATACACAAATTAGCTGGGCGTGGTGCTCATGCCTGTAATCCTAGCTACACTGGAGGCTGAGGCAGGAGAATTGCTTGAACCCAGGAGGAGCACGTTGTGGTGAGCCTAGATTGTGCCGAGCCGAGATTGCACCATTGTACTTCAGCCTGGGCAACAAGAGCAAAATTCCACCTCAAAAAAAAAAAAAAAAAAAAAAAAATTAGAGACCTCATTATTTAGGCCTACAAGGGTGGTTGGCATTTGCTTTATGCAGATATCCAAGCGGGTCTTCCATGAAGCTCAAGTGGTAAGGGAGGGCATCGGCCTGTGTTTGTCATTTGAACAGGCATGGCGATTTGTTGTTCCTGTTTCCCTCGAGCCTTGCTGGGCCCTCATCTGAAATGGAGACGTCGATTCCACCGGGCTTCAAGGGCTTTGGTGCTCCCAACGTGGTAGAGGATGAGATTGATCAGTACCTCAGCAAACAGGACGGGAAGATTTACAGAAGCCGAGACCCACAGCTGTAAGTGATCCATGGGATTCCAGGGTCCCACATGTGGTGATCTTAATGAGTGAATAAAGGGAAATATATATAACATGTTCCGTTGTAATAAGTATCTGATGAATAAGGGTAAGTATTTTTTACTATCTTCAGATTAAATTTCACTTGAAGTTATCTTGTTAGCTTTTTATCAGTTTTTTTTTTTTTTTTAGCGTCTTTATCAGTTTGAACCTCAAAATATGTTCCACATAAAAAGTTTTGAAGCATTTGGGTGCTAAGAGACTGGAAAGGTATCCGTGGAGCTGGGGGTCTTTATTGTGGTTTTTACTGTTATGTTCCCTGGGGATGCTGACTCCCATGCAGAGTGGGGCTTAGTCAGCAGCCTCGGGGGATGGAGGAGGGAAGGGGAGGTGGTTGTGTGTGTGTCCATGCATGTGAGGCACTTGCTGTGTCTCTCGTTTCCAAGCAGTTGGATGGTTTTGGCCTGACACACTAGTGTGCACTCTCCGTCCTTGCAGTGAGCATTTCACTTGCAGAAGATGCTGTGCCTTGGAATATTCCCTCCTTACCTGGGGCTATGTGAAGTGCTTATACATATGTACATTTGTTTATTTTAGATTTTTTGCAGTTCCTTTTAAAGAAACCAGTGAGAAGGGTCTGAGTTTACACTTAGCCATGTAAAATTATCTCAGTGAAGGTTGTCTCTGCGGTGGAGTCTTTTTAAAAATGCATCACTCTGTAGATGTGATGGGGTGCTGACATTGAGATATTGGGATTCCAAATGCTGCATTAGCAACTTTTATGTCTTCAATCAGAGAGCCATAAATGGCGCTCAGCTGCCATGGGCATGGAGCCACTTTGTAACCATAGCCATTAGCTGGCATGCCTCTTCCATTTGTGTTTCCTCCCAGGGGCCTGGCGTTGGCTTGCTTGCATGATCTGTGTCTCCGTTGCTTCATTAGCAGCTTTTGAGAGTGTGGGTACCTGCACGTGTGTGTGTGTGTGTGTGTGTGTGTGTGTGTCAGAACTCGGACCCATCATCAGTTATAGCCTGCCTATTAGGAAATGCAGAGAGGCAATCTCTGTTCCGAAACATAGAGCTCGCATGCATCTAATAATTCTGACCCCATTTAGAAAGGGATCTGGTTGAGCCCCAGAGGGACTGCCACCTGCGTTCTCACCAACCCACCGCTGCCCTCATAAACTAGCAGATCTCTCCTTCAGGCTGTGCGTGTTGTGCTCCCAAGGTTTCTGTGACTGAAAATGTCAGAAACTCATGGGATGAGGTTTTTGTTGTTGTTCTCTTCCAAAATGCACATGAAGTAGGTATTTTCCAAATTTGGGTAATTTATGCACTACTCTCAGGCCATTTGCCATGTTCACATGCCAGCTTGTTATTATTTATTTAACACTTTTATTTAAATTGATTTGGTCAGGTGCAGTGGCTCATACCTGTAATCTCACCTGGATTTGGGAGGGTGAAGCAGGTGGATCACCTGAGGTCAGGAGTTTGAGACCAGTCTGACCAATATAGTAAAACCCCATTGCCACTAAAAACACAAAAATTAGCTGGGCATGATGGCTTGTGCCTGTAATCCCAGCTACTCGGGAGGCTGAGACAGGAGAATCAATTGAACCCGGGAGGCAGAAGTTGCAGTGAGCCGAGATAGCACTATTGCACTCCAGGCTGGGTGACAAAGCGAAACTCAAATTTCAAAAAACAAAAACAACTATTTATTTTAGTTATTTATTTGAGAGGCCACCTCGACCTCACAAAGTGTTGGGATTAGAGGCATAAGCCACTGCCTTCAGCCAGAAAACTACTTAAATTGACTTTGAGTTCATTCACTTTTATCTTTTGTTTGTGTCATTTTAAGCAGTCGATGCCCATGAAGTCACAGGTTTGATGTGCGAGTCAGTTTTTTCTAATTCATATCAAAATAAGTAGTAAATTGCTGGGTGTGGTGGTGCACACCTGGAGTCACAGCTACTTGGGAGGTGGAGGCAGGAGGAGTGCTTGAGCCCAGGAGGTCAAGGTTGCAGTGAGCCATGATGACATCACTGCACTTCAGCCTGGGTGACACAGTGAGAGCCTGTCTTTAAACACAACAAAACAATTAAAATGTACATGTTCATCCATGTGCCATCTGGAATGTAACTCCACCTGAGCAGGGAAACAGTCTGTTAATGCAGGATGTGCATGTGGGATGGCAGCAGCGGAACACAGACGTCCTCACCGCTCTGCCTTTCTTCTGTCTTGTGCTCTCCTCAGATGCCGCCATGGCCCTTTGGGGAAATGTGTGCACTGCGTCCCTCTAGAGGTGAGAGTCTCTGTGGAATAAGTTCTGGCCGGCGTGTGGGGCTGCGGGTGGACAGCTGTCTAAGTACTTTCCCTGAGTCCATGCACTTGGTTGTCCTGGTTCAAAGAACTTACCTATTTATTGCCCTGGGCCTCATAGTCCCTCTAGTGCAGGCTGCACACAGGATGAGCCTTTATTTATGGGAGTGACATTCTCTCTGGATTATGAATGGCTGAAGCATTTGTGTGGCTGTGCTGAAGGGGCAGCATTTACAGTGGGCTCCCTGGACAATCCTTTTCAGATCTGACACAAAGCTGAGCATGTTGGCTTCTGTGCTTATCATTGTTTTGATTTACTTTGCCTTGAATTTCGCATTTCTTCTACTGGTTTGTCCTGGTGAGATTGAGAGTTACCATAATAATGCTGACTAGAACTGTTAATGCTGGATTTACAGCAGCAAGGCCAACCTGATTTTCTTCCTGAGGCATCTCTTGCCTCATCTTTTGGCATTTCTTTTTGCAAAATTTTCCTGAAACTCATTTGACTTAGAACATTTTGAGTTTAATAGGGATTCATTTTAATCTTGAAAAGATAATTGCCACACAAAGAAAAACTTGCCTCTGGTTATGTGCAGTGGTTCATGCCTGTAGTCCCAACACTTTAGGAGGCCAAGGCGAGAGGATTGCTTGAGCCTGGGAGTTCAAGGAGTTTAGGAGTTGTTTAGCCTAGGCAACTGGTTTTTTGTATACCCTGTCTCCTCTACAAAAAATTTAAAACATTAGCTGGGTGTGGTGGCTCATGCCTGTAGTCCCAGCTACTTGGGAGGTTGAGGCTGCAGTGAGCTGGGATTGCTCCACTGCACTCCTAGGCAACAGAGTGAGCCCCATCTCTAAAAATTAAATTAAGAAAAAAGGAAGAAAAACATAGTTGTGACCTAGAGTGCTAAGGGAGACCCCAGTACCTGCTTTTGCTGTGGGCCTTGACTTGCCGGGGCCGAGCTGCCTGGCCTCCCTGCACAGCGGAGGCTCCGTGCCTGCAGCACCCGGCAGGTGTGGGACTGCACTCGCTTACTCTGTGTTTTGGCAGCCGTTCGATGAGGACTATCTAAACCATCTCGAGCCTCCCGTGAAGCACATGTCCTTCCATGCCTATATCCGGAAGCTGACTGGAGGGGCTGACAAGTAAGCTACTTGCTGTAACGTAGTTGTGTGTAAATCCTTTTTTGTGTGTCTGGCAGTTGTTGCTTATAGCCACTGAATGTGTGAATGAGAGAAGTAAAGATGAGAAGGGGCCACACACGCCTTTGAATTTGTGAATGTTACCCGGTTCTATTTTTATTTATTTATTTTTTATATACATATATATGTTTTGAAGAAACGGTCTCACTGTGTTGCCCAGGCTGATCTTGAACTCCTTGGCTCAAGTGATTCTCCTGCCTTGGTTTCACAAAGTGCTGGATTACAGGCATGAGCCACCTTACCTGGCCGACCTGGTTCTAGAAGTGAGCTAGCTAGGCAGCGATTGCAGGCGCCTGGCTGCAGGTCCACAGTGATGTGTTGGACAGAGGCTGTCCCTTTGCACGCTGCCCAGGGAGGTTAGCATCTGTGATGGTGGCCTTCTGTGTCTGCAGTTTGAGCTCATTCTCTGCTTTTCAGAGAAACAAGTACCCTGTGAGAATCTCAGCTCCCCCATTTTAGCCCCTGCCAACACTCTCCCTAGAGCCCGGCCTCTGAGTCAGCCTGGTTTTCAGCCACAGCAGGGGCTGCAGCCACTTGTCCTCATGGTACCACAGTAGTTGCCCACAGGCTCAGCCAGGTGGGCACAGGTGGTAACAGTAACCAGAAGGGGGTGAACTGAGCATTTTGATTTCCTTTAAGCCATGCCAAACACTTGCCTATACGACCTTCTGTTGGCTGTCCATGTGCCCTACCAGAAAGTAACAGGCTTCAGCTATTATATAATGCTTGTCAGTGCGACAAGAGGAGATGGTGGCTGAACTGAAGTCAGCAACATTTTGTGAAGAATGTCATATTCACCTGATTGTAGCTTTACTCTGACAGCCTGCTGACATCCTAAAATGACTTTTTAAAAATGTTAGACCAGGAGAAAAAACCTACTAGAAATCCACTCTTGCTTGTCAGTGGGAAAGCCATGGAACTCTCTGGTTTATGGAGTGGGTGCAGATTGATTGTAGTGAAAGCAACTTGGTCAGCCTTTTGTCAGTCTAGGTCAAGGAACACAGTCTCTAGTGGGGGTGTATTTGTGGCCACCGTTAACTTGCAGATTTGGTGATGAGTCATTGCTTCCTAGATGCTGTTACTCCAAAAATGATTCACCACAAAAAATGATAAGTATGTGATGACTTAATGCATATGTTAGTTAGCTCAGTGTAGCCATTCCACAGTGTGGACATGTTTCAAAATATCATTTTGTACACTATAAGTATATAGTTTTTATTTGAGAAACAAAACCTCAAGTCCACCTTAAAGATACAGATTTTTTGTTTTTTGTCAATTATATTTCAATGAAGCTGGAAAAAAAGAAAGTTCAGAGTAGGGTCCAGGACTTTCTCATTGACAATCTTCAACAGTAGTTTTTATTTTCGCCTAAAGCAGAGTGAAGATGCCTTAATTATATATCCTAATCAGATTTTTGCCATGAATAAGAATTTTTTACAAATATGTAAGTACTGGACTAATATCAAAGTTTCTGATAACTTATATACGAGCCTCATGTCCTCTCAGTGGCATAGGTGAGATCAATAGATATTCCGCAATATTCTTGCAAACTTTCATGGATGCTAGTGATAGATGGTAAAAACAAAAATACCACAGTTTGGTAGGAAAATGGTTGCTTGTTTCTGTGTAGTTTAAGTATGTGGGACAGAAGCTAGAAATTTGAATGTGCTGAAACTACAGGTGGAGCTTCCGGTAGAATTACTTTTAGCACGTCTTCTCTGTGGCCTGCCACATGCTTAGCTCCTGAGAGGCTACTGAGGAGGTATAAGATATTTACCTGTCATTTCCAGCCTCTTGCTCAGCTTTTCACCAATGCAATGTTTAATTACATTGCTTCTCTTCTCTTTAGGGGAAAATTTGTTGCCCTGGAGAACATCAGCTGCAAGATTAAGTCGGGGTGCGAGGGGCACCTCCCGTGGCCGAACGGCATCTGCACCAAGTGCCAGCCGAGTGCCATCACGCTCAACAGACAGGTGAGATCTTCCCTGCCTGTCTAGATTTGTTTTCATGGCTGAGAAATGGATATTTCCAGAAGAGCCCCATGGAGTGGAATGCCACTGGCACAGGGTGTTAAGCGTGGTGTTTTTCAGTATGTTGGATGAATTGAATGACCCTTTTGTGGAAGTGGTACACTGAAGATGTCATTTTTAAGACTGCTTGCTCCTGGAGGTGTGGAGTGCAAGCCCACAGTTCTCTGTTTTGCTGGCTTATGTGGAGGCAGAATGTTCCTGGGGATTATTTAATATCCTCAGTGGTTATGAGGAAACTGGCTCTGAAGGCTGGTAAAGGGGCTCTGCTTGGACCAGCTGAGAACACCTGTCCAGGTTGGCTTAAGGATAAAACGTGGCTCAGGAAGAAGGGGCTGATCCAGCCTTTCTGGAGTTCTGCTCACCTTGTCCTGCCTCTGAGAGTGGCCTGCCTTGCCTTCCCGCTGCCTCTGCGCCCTTAGAGAAAATGGCTCTTTAGAGAGAATTCCATGGGCTCCTTGACGTTTTTGGAAACCTCCCTTTCTGCATTCCTTTTTTTCTTGAAAACTACTTTATTTTGGCTAAGCATGGTGTCTCAAACCTGTAATCCCAGCGCTTTGGGAGGCTGAGGCAGGCAGATCACCTGAGATCAGGAGTTTGAGACCAGCTGGGTGTGATGGTGGGCACCTGTGGTCCCATCGCTCAGGAGGCTAAGGCAGGGGAATCACTTGAACCTCGGAGGCAGAGGTTGCAGTGAGCCCAAATCACGCCACTGCACTTTAGCCTGGGTGACAGAGTGAGACTTCGTCTAAAAAAAAAAAAAGGGAAAACTAGTTTGTTTTTTGCCCTCGAGACTGTGAAAACCTGTATTTTAACTTAAATCACAGTGGAATTATTTTGAATTTGTTGATAGTATGAAATCTATCTCTACCCTCCTATACCCCCGCCCTGCCCCCTGGAGTCTGAAGTGGTCTAAAGGGCAGAGCTTTCTTTGAGACAGAGTCTCACTCTGTAGCCCAGGCTAGATTGCAGTGGTGCACTGCAACCTTAGCCTCCCAGGTTCAAGCAATTCTCCTGCCTCAGCCTCCTGGATTACAGGCATGAGCCATCATGCCTGGCTAATTTTTGTATTCTTAGTAGAGACAGGGTTTCACCATGTTGACCAGGCTGGTCTCGAACATCTGGCTCAAGACATCCGCCAGCCTCAGCCTCCCAAAGTGGTGAGTTTACAGGCGTGAGCCAGTGTGCCTGACTGGCTTTTTTTCTTAAGTAATGTTTATTGGCCGGGTGCGGTGGCTCACGTCCGTAAACCCAGCACTTTGGGAGGTCAAGGCGGGAGGATCACTTGAAGTCAGGAGGTCGAGACCAGCCTGGCCAACATAGAGAAACCCCTGTCTCTACTAAAAATACAAAAAAATTAGCCAGGCATGGTGGCAGGTGCCTTTAATCCCAGCTGCTGGGGAGGTTGAGGAAGGAGAATCACTTGAACCCAGTAGGCAGAGTTTGCAGTGAGCTAACGCCACCAGACTCCAGTCTGGGTGACAGAGTGAGACTCTGTCTCAAAAAAAAAAAAAAAAAAAAAAGGAATGTTTATTGTTTTTATTTTTTGAATAGAATAGCAGATTATTATTATTATTACTTTTGAGCCCTAAGCAGGACATCAAAAAATTCAGTTATAAACTCATAATTGTTCCTCTCCATGGAAATCTTTAGTAAAAGGCAAAAGATTTATTCATTATGAAGAGAAACCAGAGCATGATTATTATTTTTTAAGATACACTGGTCTCACTCTGTCGCCCAAGCTGGACTTGAACTCCCAGGGTTAAGCGATCCTCCAGCCTTGGCCTCCTGAGTATCTGGGACCACAGGCATGCACCACCATACCCTGTTGCTTTGTTTTTTAAAGAACTAGGTAAAAGGTAATTACTAATGGTATGTGCTAGAAAAAGAAGTGATTTATTTTTGATGACATGTTTTCATCAGCCCACTCTTGTTAACTCTACAGAAGTACAGGCATGTGGACAATATCATGTTTGAGAATCACACTGTCGCTGACCGCTTTCTTGACTTCTGGAGAAAGACAGGGAACCAGCATTTTGGGTTCTTATATGGACGGTACACAGAGCACAAAGACATACCCCTCGGCATCAGGGCTGAAGTGGCTGCGATTTATGAGCCTCCGCAGGTAAACATGACGGGAATCCAAGTTCCTGGGTGCCCAAGTTTCTGTGTTTGGAGGCCGTGGGGGACGCCCTTTTGGATCAGGCCTCACCCCATTTGCTGTCATTTGTGCCCGCTCTGTCACACACCAGTGCATGTGCACAACATTTTCTGAATTATTGGAGAGCGAAATCTTGGGCCCTAAAAACTTCAGTGTATGTTACTAAGGATAAGGATATTTTCTTATGCAACCAGTACATGTACCAATATTGATCCCGTGTTTCCATTTCGTCTGCAGTCTGTGTCCAGGTGCTCAGTCCTCCTTGTGTCGTTCTGTCTCTTCCACTGTGCAGCAGTCACTGTCTTAGGGACGATGGAGAGGGCCACAGATGCACCATAGCACCAGTCACCAGAGTGTCACCAGAATAACAAAAACTGCCACCAAAATAGGACTGAAAACAATTTAAGATTTGTTTGGAGGGAAGAGAAGGGTTCTGAGGGTGTGTCCCATAGGTTGTGTGCACTGCTAGTCACTGTGTTGGAAGTCATTTTCTGAGGGTGTGTCCCGTAGGGTTTGTGCACAGCTAGTCACTGTTGGAAGTCATTGGAAGGCCCTCTGGTATGATTATGCCACCAACCAGTTACACGTTGTATTTCCAGTTTTTAGGAAATGGGCTGTGTGTGTATTTTTTTTTTTGAGACAGTCTCACTCCGTCACCAGGCGCCAGGCTACAGTGCAGTGGTGCAACCTCGGCTCACTGCAACCTCCACCTCCCGGGTTCAAGCAATTCTCCTGCCTCAGCCTCACAAGTAGCTGGGACTACAGGCGCGCGCCACCACGCCCAGCTAATTTTTTTGTATTTTAATAGAAACGGTTTCTCCTTATTGGCCAGGATGGTCTCCATCTCTTGACCTCGTGATCCGCCAGCCTCAGCCTCCCAAAGTGCTGGGATTACAGGTGTGAGCCACCATGCCTGGCTGTGTGTGTATGTTTATATGAATTTTAATTTGTTTTGTGATTATGTATAATATTTAGTGTATTTTACATACATTTTATTGCAAAAGTTAAAACAGGTATTCAATGCTAGTTAATGATATGCAAGCTGATCTATTAAGGGAGACGTGCACTTATGTCTAATTTACTTGAAATCCAGTAGAAAAATAAAGTAGACTGATGGGTGACTAGAGGGACAGATAGTGCATAGTACATGCTCATGCTGAGTCTAGTAGTGGGTAGGTGAGTATTCATTGTAAAATTCTTTAAATTAGCTGTATGCTAGAAAGTTTTAATTTTCTTTTTCTTTCTTTTTTTTTTTAAGAGATGAGTCTTGTACTGTTGCCCAGACTGGAGTGCAGTTGTTCAGTTATAGCTTACTGCAGTCTTGACCTCCTGGGCTCAAGCAATCCTCCTGTCTCAGCCTTCTGAGTAGCTGGGACTACAGTTGCATGCCACTATGCCAAGCTAATTTTTAAATTTTTGGTAGTGTCAGGGTCTCGCTGTATTGCCCAGGTTGGCCTTGAACTACTAGCCTCAAGTGATCCTCACATCTTGGCCTCCCAAAGTGTTGGGATTACAGGTATGAGCCACTGTGCCCAGCCAGAAATATTTTTAAAAGTTGGAAAAGAAAAAAAATGTGCACAGTTCCAGTCATATTTACAAACAAGGTATATTCATTTCTTTTTATCCTGCTTTCCTTTATGCGTAGCCCCCACAATTTAAAACTTTCTTTCTTTTTGAGACAGCGTCTCAGTCTGTTGCCTAGGCTGAAGTGCATATGCCATCATGGCTTAGTGCAGCCTCAATTGCAACCTTCCTGGGTTCAAGCAATCCTCCTGTCTCAGCCTCCCAGGTATCTGGGACTACAGGCGTGCACCACCATGCCTGACATACATACATACATACGTGTGTGTGTGTGTTTGTGTGTGTATTTTTTTTCCTGGAGACACATCTTGTCATGTTGCCCAGGCTGGTCTGGAACTCCTGGACTCACGCAGTCTACTCACCTCAGCCTCCCAAAGTTCTGGGATTATAAGCATAAGCCACTATGCGCAGCCTAAAAATTTTTTAGTTGGACTTTCTGAAGTTTGATTATATTCATTTATTTGTTTATTTGTTTGTTTTTGAGATGGAGTCTCAGTCTGTCACCCAGACTGGAGTGCAGTGGTGTGATCTTGGCTCACTGCAACCTCCACCTCCTGCTTCAAGCAATTCTCCTGCCTCAGCCTCTTGAGTACCTGGGATTACAGACACGCGCCACCATGCCTGGCTGATTTTTGTATTTTTAGTAGAGATTAGGGTTCACCGTGTTGGCCAGGCTGGTCTTGAATTCCAAGCCTCGCGATCTGCCTGCCTTGGCCTCCCAAAGTACTGGAATTACTAGCATGAGCCATTGTGCCTGGCAAAAGTTTGCTTTTCTTTCTTTCTTTTTTTTTTTTTTAAGATGGGGTTTCATGTTGGTCAGGCTGGTCTTGAACTCCTGACCTCAGGTGATCCGCCCGCCTTGGCCTCCAAAGTTCTTGGATTACAGGCATGAGCCACTATGCCCAGCCTTTTTAATTTTTTTTCATTCTTTTTTTTTTTTTGCTTTTTTTTTTTTTTTTTCAAACAGGGTCTCACTCCTGAGTTCCAGTGATCTCTCCTCTGGCTCCCAAGTAGCTGGGACTACGGGTGTATATGACACTGAGCCTGGCTAGTTTTGTTTTGTGTGTGTTTGACATTTTTAATGAGAGCAGATATACACATGCATGCATACACATTCATACTATCCCCCTTCTTTGTTTCTTTTTGCATGTACTATATTATACGCACCTTTTCCACCTAATGCTGTCTTGTGGAGATCACTTGATGGCTAGCTTCCTATTTAGATAACCTGACTGGGAGGTCAGCTGGGGTGCCCTGCAGCTGCTTTCAGAGTTTGCTAATCAGAGTTTGAAACTGCAGGCTGTGCTGCGTGGCTGGTGTACAGGCTAGCTTGTGGCCCCTGGTCAAGTGTGTGTCTTTCTTGGCTATATTTATATGGATTTTTAGTGACAGTTTGGTATCTTTGCATAACAATAGATGTAGTGTTTCTTGAGGCATTTTGCCATGGTTCCTTTAAAAACAGACACTAGGTGGCAGTGGAGACCCCACCAGGGAAGTCTCAACCCTTAGGTCACTCTGTGCTGTGCTCAGGATGCTGCTTTTTGAAGCACAAAGTATTCAAATTTAGTTTTTTAAGGGGTCTCTTTCATGGGGACTTCAACAGTTCTATTAAAACTATAAATGAGGCCAGGTGTGGTGGCTCACACCTGTAATCCCAGCACTTTGTCAAGGGCGAGGCAGATCACTTGAGGCCAGGAGTTTAAGACCATCCTGGCCAACACCATCCTGGCCAACTGACCATTCCATTTCTACTAAAAAATACAAAAAAAAAGGTTGCTGGTGGAGCCTGCAGTAAGCTGAGATTGCACCACTGTACTCCCACCTGGGCAAGAGTCAGACTCTGTCTCATTAAAAATAAATAAATAAAATAAAAATATAATTGAAAAAAATTTGAGCAGAAACCTGGCATCCAGAGCACTGACAGCACCATCAGAGCTCCCAGCTTAGAAGTCCTGGAGGTTGAAGCAGTTGACCTGTAATAACCTCCAGCTCAGTAGAATTTGGAGCTTATGCTGCCACATGTCATGAAACAACTCCTTTTCCTTAGATTTTCTCAGTTTGTGATTTGACCTATGTTCTGGAGGTATTCATGACCTCCATATGGGTAATACTCAGCAAATGTAAAGTTCTATGTGGTTTTGCCAGATTTTGACTAATTTACAAGGCTGTGCCCAATTACTGTAACTCAATTTGGGATGACCTTGACTTTTCCTTTTCTTATGGCTGGGGTTTCTTTGTCGAATGATACCTATTAATGAAATGACCCTCAAGCTGCATTTAAGTGAACGTTGATGATTTGGGTAAGCTTGGTCCACTCTGGGAAGTGATGTGCTATGTTGGTTTCGGTTGCATGGGAGCTGAAACTCATCAACCGCCCTGGGCCAGGTGTAAGCAGGTCATTGATTTTTGAATACCTTTTCCCTTCCTTAAGGTTTGTAAGCTCATTACTCTCTGTGGAGTTCATAGTGTCTCTCCACGTCAGTATCTTAGCTGTGAGGACAAGCACTGTCTCTGTAGGAGTGGCACACAGATTTTCCAAGGCTGTTTCCTGGGAATAGATGTTACCTTACAGTTTCATTCTTGCCTAATTTAGCCACACCTGTTTGGAGTGAAGCTACTTATCCAAGGAAGTTTGAAAACAACTTCATTCCCTGATGAAGGAACTTTTAAAACAGGCAAAGTGTAGGCCTTCCCTTAGTCCTGAGCACTCCTGGTGCAGCACACATCAGCTGGGCCCTGCATGCTACATGCTTGCCAGTGCTGGTTAAAGGGGTAGTGCAACCCAAGAGGGAGAGAAGCCATGAGGAATGTTGCATGTTTTTTTGTTTGTTTGTTTTTTGAGACAGAGTCTGGCTCTGTCGCCAGATGCCAGGCTGGAGTACAGTGGCGTAATCTTGGCTCACTGCAACCTCCATCTCCCGGCTCAAGCGATTCTCCTGCCTCAGCCTCCTGAGTAGCTGGGACTACAGCCATGTGCCACCATGTTGGGCTAATTTTTTGTATTTTTCGTAGAGACGGGGTTTCACTCTGTTGGTCAGGCTGATCTTGAATTCCTGACCTTGTCATCCATCCGTCTCGTCCCCCAAAGTGCTGGGATTATAGGCATGAGCCATTGCACTCAGCCCGAGTGTGCTGTATCTGTGGCCGTAGTTTTCCTTTCTGGCAAGGAGTCCCCCAGCACTCCTTATGACCTGGAACTGGAAGCGGGAGGGCTTGGGGTGCTGCTTCCTGAGTCCTCTGCTCTAAGTCCATCTTCTCCCTTTGATTCCCTGTAGATTGGTACTCAGAACAGCTTGGAGCTTCTTGAGGATCCAAAAGCTGAAGTAGTCGATGAAATTGCTGCCAAACTTGGTCTTCGGAAGGTACTGAGGCATTTGACAGCCAAGCAGTGGGGGGTGGCCAGGCTCTGTTGGGCATCCAGGCGGCGGGGAGTTGGGGGAGTGGCCCGGCTGTGTTTGGGACTGACTCTCCCCAGCTACACAAGATCACATGCAGGCTCCATACGTTTTGAAACTTCACTTGTATTTATTGTGCACCAATAACTTTTATATTCCTCTGACTTAAAGTAAAATGAGAACATTTCCTTGAGCATATAAAAGAAGATTCCAGTGCAGATCTGGCTGTTATATTTCAGCCTTCCATCCACATGTCTTCACTGTTTCAAGTGGGAAACAGAAGCAGGAGTGAGACCCCAGCTGCCCTCCTGCTGGTTCCTTGTGCCTGTGTGTCCCTGTGGCCTGAGCTCTCCCTTCATGTGGCTTAGAAGCCGTGGACATTCAAGGCTGGCGATCCATGCTGTGCACTTGGAGCTTCTGCCGTTCCTTCAATCATCATTGAATTTCCTGTTTATAATTTAGGTCTCTGAGCCTAGAATTCTTCCTAGTTCTATGGAACAGTTAGAAGATGAGAAAAGAATTTCCTTTTTGATTCTATTGATCTGGTTTATCTGATATCATTGACAAAGTTTCCAGGAATGTAAAAGATAGATTTTTATAAATTCATGTTGAGCCACGAATTTGAACATATCTTACAAATTTAATATTAATATGTATGTTTTTTTAATTTCCTAATCGACTTAGTGAAAAATAATCTCCAGATTATTTCATCTTATTTCTCTACCGATGAAGGGGGTGAGACTGCAAATGTGACTTAAAACCTGGGAGTGTTAGTGAGTAGTCCACCCCGTTTCACTCTCTCATGAAAGAAACATCCTGTTTCTAACAAGGAGTCCACATCTTCATTTAGGGTCATATTTTGGTTCAAATTCTGGAACTTCGCTTGTTGAAAAGTGAAATTGGTCCAATTTTTTGACCTAATTTGTTATGTAACCTTATAGTTCATAAAATCTTGATATTACCTAAATGCTTTTCTCCAAAACACGAGTTTTTTTTTTTTTTAGGAGTCTTGCTCTGTCTCCCAGGCTGGAGTGCAGGGGCGTCATCTCGGCTTACTATTACCTCCATCTCCTGGGTTCAAGCGATTCTCCTGCCTCAGCCTCCCAAGTAGCTGGGATTATAGGCACCCACCACCACGCCAGGCTAATTTTTGTATTTTTAGTAGAGACGGGGTTTCACCATGTTGGCCAGGCTGGTCTTGAACTCCTGACCTCAGGTGATCCACCTGCCTTGGCCTCCCAAAGTACTGGGATTAAATGCATGAGCCACTGAGCTCAGCCCAAAACACGAGTTTCTAAGCCTGTATTTTTCTCAGTTTAACTTTGATTCTGCTTGATTTACTGCTTAAATACATCAATCCTTTAAGTCTCACTGTTGCCATCACCTTGGATGTTTGATTCCTTGAGGCATCTTTAAAGACAGTGAAAGTCTTCCAGTGTGCTGGTCACATCTGCCAGGGATGGATGGGAAGAGTTGTGTGTCATGTGGTGCTGGAGAGAGTGATGGGCCATACATCCCTCCTGAGGACAGAGGTGACAACTGCTGGGACTCAAGTGCTGCTCCTGTGGCCTCAAGACAGGCTTCTGGTACAGGAATTCACAGGCAGAGGCAGGTCCAAGGATCACATAGCACACAGGCACTGCCTCCTTGAACATGCAGGGGATGCTGGGTCATGGGTTTCAGATCCCAGAAGGATGTTTCCTTCTGGGCTTGAGCTAGAGCTCCCAGGAGCAGCTGTGTGAAGTCTGCATTATGTTACCCTTTTATCTCAAGTGCCTGTCTCTAGGAATCCTTTTCCGTAGCTTGTCGGGAAAGACCTACTCTTTGAAATGTTTATTTGCTTGCCCGTTCTCTCTCTTCCTCTTGGGAGTTTAAGTGCCCTTTTCACTGACCTTCTGTTGGTCTCACTCACTGCTGTGTCCCCTGCACCCAACATGGTGCTGGGCAGAGCTGGGTCTGAGGAGACTCATCTCTAACCCAGCAGCACCAGAGGGAGGGCGGCCAGTATCTGCTGAACAGGGATGGAGATTCCTGGGTATGGCCTGGCATCTTACTTCAGCAACCTGTTCACTTAGATTGACCTGGCTCACAAAAAGGAGTTTCTGACTGAGGACATTCTTTTTAAGCTTTCTGGGCAGAAGCCAGAAAACATTCATCATCTATCTTTTTTTTTTTTTTTTTCAAATGGAGTCTTGCTCGTCGCCAAACTGGAGTGCAGTGGCGCAATTTTGCTCACTGCATCCTCTGCCTCCCAGGTTCAAGTGATTCTCCTGACTCAGCCTCCCAAGTAGCTGAGACTACAGGTGTGTGCCACAACGCCTGGCTAATTTTTATATTTTTAGTAGAGATGGAGTTTCACCATGTTGGCCAGGATGGTCTTACACTCTTGACCTCATGATCCCCCTGCCTCAGCCTCCCAAAGTGCTGGGATTATAGGCTTGAGCCACCGTGCCTGGCCGTTCATAATCTATCTTAAGGAGATGTTTAAAAGATACTTTCCTTTTTATTAAGGTTGGCTGGATATTTACAGACCTCGTCTCAGAAGATACCCGTAAGGGTACAGTCCGCTACAGTCGAAATAAGGTGAGGTGGAAACAGAAATGTGCACATAACCCTGTGGCTTGGTTACAGATTGCATTGGCCTACATTCAGAGGGTCTCTTTGCACTGCTGGTTCTAGCTTCAGGCCACATTCTTTTTCAAGAAGGTCTTCCTGAGAAATGAAGACTAGGTTTCTTGGTCCTGTCTCATAGAGCTAAACCCACCTTACTTTTACAAAGCAGTGACTTTCAGGGCTTAGCCCGTGGCGGGGTGGCTTGCATAGTGCTTCTGGTCTTCCTAGTTGTGGGGGATTTTAGATGAGGAATGTGTAATGCTTAGGAATTGTAGATACTTGTTTCAAAGTGGTTTTGAGCTTTATAGTTTGGTTCTTATTTTTTATTACTTTTTTTCTTGAAATAGAGTCTTGCTCTGCTGCACGGGCTGGAGTGCAGTGGCACAACCTTGGCTCACTACAGCCTGGGTTCAGGTATGCACAACCATACCCAGATAATTTTTTTCATTTTTAGTAGAGCCCAGGTTTTGCTATAATTAGTTCTTTTTTTTTTTTTTTTTTGATGGAATCTTGCTCTGTTACCAGGCTGCAGTGCAGTGATGGTATGATCTAAGCTCACTGCAACCTCTGCCTCCTGGATTCAAGTGATTCTCCTGCCTTAGCCTCCCGGAGTAGCTGGGATTACAGTTGTGGGCCACCACCCCTGGCTAATTTTTTATATTTTAGTAGAGACAGGGTTTCACCATGTTGGCCAGGATGGTCTCCATCTCCTAACCTCCTGATCCGCCCACTTCAACCTCCCAAAGTGCTGGGATTACAGGTGTGAGCCAACATGCCCTGCCTCTTATTTTTTAAGGAAGAAATAGAAGCATTTTGACATGATGCTGTAAAATGTTATATAGGCTGCTTCTCTTGTCTTAGGACACCTATTTCCTAAGTTCAGAAGAGTGTATCACTGCCGGAGACTTCCAGAACAAGCATCCCAACATGTGCCGGCTCTCTCCAGATGGACATTTTGGATCCAAGTTTGTTACTGCAGTGGCTACAGGTATAATAGGGACAGTTGTACTGGAAATACTATCACTCTTGTTAAAACGTTTCATTCCTGTTTTCGTTAGCTTTTATCCTTAAGTTATACTGGATTTTCTTGTTGGGCTTGTGGGGACGTATATTCCTCCTTTCATTTTATGGTAAAAATTCTGAACTTACCAACATAAAACTGAAAACAGAAACCACAAAACTCATAACAGAATCGGAACCTCCACAGAGTTACTTAGGCCAGTGGTCTCATTAAAAGTCCACTTTTTTGGCTAGGTGCGGTGGCTCACGCCTGTAATCCCAACTTTTCAGGAGGCCAAGGTGGGTGGATCGCTTGAGATCAGGAGTTTGTGATCAGCCTGGCCAACATGGCGAAACTCCATCTCAGCTAAAAAAATAAAAATTAGCTGCACGTGTCAGTGGGCACCTGTAATCCCAGCTACTCAAGAGGCCAAGACAGGAGAATTACTTGAACACAGCAGGCGGAGGTTGCAGTGAGCCGAGTTCATGTCACTACACTCTAGCCTGGGTGACAGAGCGAGATTCTATCTCAAAAAAAGAAAAAGGATGTTCCCCTGGGCAAAACAGTGAGACTCCATCTCAAAAAAAAAAAAAGTCTTTTTTTTTTTCTTTTTCACATTCTTACTCTGTCATTTAGGCTGGAGTGCAGTGGCGCGATCTCAGCTCACTGCAGCCTCCACCTCCTGGGTTCAAGTGATATTTGTGTCTCAGCCTTCAGAGTAGCTGGAGTTATAGGTGCACGCCACCATGCCTGGCTAATTTTTGTATTTTTAGAAGAGATGGGGTTTTGCCTTGTTGGCCAGGCTGGTCTTGAACTCCTTACCTCAGGTGATCCACCCTCCTCGGCCTCCCAAAGTGCTGGGATTATAACACCTGTAATCCCAGCATTTTGGGACTTCATTTTGAAATGAAGTAAGTGGACTTTTAATGAGACCACTGACCTAAAGAGAGCTCTGTGGAGGTCCCGGTTCTGTTACGAGTTTTGTGGTTTTTGTTTTGAGGTTAAGATGGGAGGATCCCTTGTGAGTGGGAGTTTGAGACCAGCCTGGGCAACATGGCAAGACCCCATCTCTACAAAAAATAAATAAATAAAACATATTAAATAAAAAGAAAGAAAAATGTTTAAGCTAACTGCAGAGCTTTTCACACTTTGCTGCATATTCTTGAGCTTGCGGGTTTTTTTTTTAGACAGGGTCTTACTCTGACACCCAGGCTGGAGCACAGTGGTACAGTCACGGCTCACTGGTGTGACTCCTGGGCTCATGTGATCCTCCCCTATCAGCCACCCATGTAGTTGGGACTATGTGTGTGCGCCACCATGCCCAGCTGATTTTTAAATTTTTAGTAGAGGTTAGGTCTTGTTGTCTTGCCTAGGCTACAGTTCTTTGATTTAAGGTGCATTTAGATTGATTTTTGAAATGAATATATTTTTAGGGGAGCGATAGGCATCTTTTACATGTTAATTATGTTAATATTTAATACATGTTAACTATTTCACATGGGAATTAATTGAGTCAGATTTATTGTCCTAAGTTGTTCTTTGGATTCAGTGCTTAAGGGAAGGGTTGGGAGTTTGGACTAGGATTGAAGGAGGGACTGAGGATTCTGCGTCACAGAACCCCTTAGTGAGGGCAGGCTGGGAAAGGGCGCTGTCATGGTGGGAAACCCTGGAGAGCAGCTGGGGCTAGAGAGGGGGCACTGGCCACCCAGGAGGGAAGCAGAGAACAAAGGCGCCCATTTCATTTAGAATTCTGCCTAGACAGCACTGTATTTAGAGACGGGGAGAAAAGTATCATCCTGCTCTGCCCCCTGTCACATCCCTCCACCCTTGCCGCTTGCAGGCTGATATCTGGGTGCAGTAGTTTAGGCTGGTAGTTTCCAAACCTGTCGGATTCAACCCGTTTTTAGAACACTTTGTGATATCCCTTTACTACGCAGAAATAAAATTCATGGGTAATATAACTAATAATGTAGGCTGCCTACACACAGAATTCTGAAATGGAAGGCAGAGTAGTATCCTAACTGTAATATAACATCAAAGGAAAATGAGAGGGAAGAAACAGAATAAAGTCATACATTTAGGTGTGTCTGTGCTTCTGGACTGACCCATGAGGACAGCACGGTGGAATACGTGCTGGTATGTGTGGGCAGGGGCTGTGCACAGGCTGGGTACAGGCCTCTCAGCTGGCCTTGCTGTCAGCAACATGGCTTCCTGGGAGGCTCAGCAGCTCTCCACCCAGCTCCAAGCAGAACAGCATGCCCTTGCCTCAGCTTACACTATGACAGCCCCAGAGAATTCACTGTGCATTCAAACTCTGCCTGTTTTGTGGTATTTATAAAATAGAATTGCTTCTAATCTCACATCATTGTAAATAGTGGTTTTTGCCTACTTAAGTGTGTAGCGGGCATTCAGGGTCTTGTGGGACATGGAACAGTTATTTTCTCATGGGCCCTCTGTACCTAGTAAGACATCTGGCACCCCCAAGCCAGCACACCAAAGCAGTGTCCCCTCCCCATCAGTGAGGCAACCAAAACATTTCCAGAACTGCTGCCCTCATGAAGAAATGCTGTTTCAGGCTTCCATGGGCTCCCATGGTTACCTAACCCTTTTAATTACTGTTTCTTTTTTTTTTAATATATATGTATATTTTTTCTTTTTTTTTTTTTTTTTTGAGACGGAGTTTCGCTGTTGTTACCCAGATTGGAGTGCAATGGCACGATCTCGGCTTACCACAACCTCTGCCTTCTGGGTTCAAGCAATTCTCCTGCCTCAGCCTCCCGAGTAGCTGGGACTACATGCATATACCACCATGCCCAGCTAGTTTTTGTATTTTTAGTAGAGATGGGGTTTCACCTCGTTGACCAGGATGGTCTTGATCTCTTGACCTCGTGATCCACCCGCCTCGGCCTCCCAAAGTGCTGGGATTATAGGCGTGAGCCACCGCGCCCGGCCTTTTTTTTTTTTTCTTTTCTTTTTTTTAGACAGAGTCTTGCTCTGTCACCCAGACTGGAGTACAATGGCATGATCTCACTGGATGGCTCACTGCAATCTCTGCCTCCCGGGTTCACACAATTTTCCTGCCTTAGCCTCCTGAGTAGCTGGGATTACAGGCATGCACCACCATGCCCAGCTAATTTTTGTATTTTTAGTAGAGATGGGGTTTAGCCATGTTGGCCAGACTGCTTTTGAACTCCTGACCTCAGGTGATTCCGCTGACTCTTCCTCCCAAAGTGCTGGGATGGGACTACAGCACTTTGGGAGGCCGAGGTGAGCCACTGCATCTGGCCTTTTTAAATATATATTTTTTAATTAAAAAAACATATTTCAGTGTGGTTTTAATATGTTTTGTTCTGAGTGAAATTGAGGATCTTTTATTTACATTTAAAACTTTTTTTTGAGACAGTTTTGCTCTGTCACTCAGGCTGGAGTGCAGTGGCGCAGTCTCAGCTCACTGCAACCTTTGCCTCCCAGGTTCAAGTGATTCTCGTGCCTTAGACTCCCAAGTAGCTGGGATTACAGGTGCATATTACCACGCCTGGCCAATTCTTGTGTTTTTAGTAGAGATGGGGTTTCATTATGTTGGCCAGGCTGGTCTTGAACTTCTGTCCTCAAATGATCTACCTGCCTCAGCCTCCCAAAGTCCTGGGATTATAGGTATGAGCACTGCGTCCAGCCTAATTACTGTTTCTATGGAGAAATTATTTCATGGGCCAGAAGAACTGACACATTTTAAAAATTATAGTTTCTAACTTGGGGGCTACCACCTTCAATTGGAGTCATACCTCTTGTTAAGAGTTGAAAAATTGTATAGATCATCCTTGGGCTTTTATTGCCTCTGGAATTGGCATTTACTGAAGGGTTTTGGAACTGAGAGACAGTGAATAACCTAATATGTAAACAGGCAGTGACTTGGTGCTTGAACTTGCTGTGGTCTCCCTTTCCCGAGGGTAGTGGTTGACTGAAGAGTGCTTGTCCTCATGCCTGTTTTTAATCACTGCAGCTTGGATGAAGGTTTTCTAACTCAAATAAATTTTGCTCTTTCCCTTGCACTAGGGTCTCTTGGTCATGGCCATGTGGGGACCCCATGCTGTTGGAAATTGTACTTGCTGCATTCCCGTCCCACATCCCTCCTTAGACAGGGAGGTGCAGACTGAGCCATGTGGCACAGGGTACGTGGCACCCCTGCAGGCAGCACTCAGGTCCTGGCTTGGATGCAGAGGCCTCGCTCCTCCCTCTGCGTCTGCCCTTTCTCCCCTTTCCCCTTTGATTGTGCACAGGTGTTCTCTGACGTGAGTCTTCAGAGTGTAAGGGCCCTGATGATGTGTGCCCTTTGCTCAAGCAACCCTGAAGGGCCCCATGGAAGGACAGTGCACTGCGGGGCTGAGCTTACCCTCCACACTGGGCTGGGTGTCTCTGTTTCCTCATAGTCTGACACGCTCTCAGCTTAGGGCTCTGAAAGGTAGTTGCTGAGGGTCTGATTTCAAAAACCAGAAATGTTTCTCAGATTCAATAGCAGCTGAGGTCTTTTCTGTCACTGCCTCTTTGTAGGCCCTGTGACCCTTCCAAAGTAGGGATTTCCTGACTGGCTGATTTTCGAAGAGAGTGATAGTTCACTTGTCCTGCCAGCTTTTCTGGCAGGGTTACACAAACCCATCAGGACATGTGTTTCCTGCTGCTCATGTGGAAAGGGGAGTTCGCAGTTCATCTCAGTGAGTTTACCCTTGAAGATTATCCATATGGCCTAATTTTGCTTTTTATAAACAGCCTTCTGTTTTACAAATACTGCTTTCCATTTTTCTCTCATTCTCAATCACCAGATTTTTCTTTATTAAATGACCAATCACGTTAATGATCAAGCTAAACACCAAGTGCAGGTTTTTCATTTTGTTTTGTTTTTTTCTCCCAGAGATGGAGTCTTGCTCGGTTGCCCAGGCTGCAGTGCAGTGGCGAAATCTCGGCTCATTGCAGTCTCCGCTTCCTGGGCTGTAGCGATTCTCCTGTCTCGGCCTTCTGAGTAGCTGGGATTACTGGTGCACGCCACAAGGCCAGGCTAATTTTTTGTATTTTTGTTAAAGAAGAGGTTTCACCATGTTTTCCAGGCTGGTCTTGAACTCCTGACCTCGGGTAATCCACCTGCCTCAGCCTCCCAAAGTGTTGGGATTACAGGCGTGAGCCAGGGCGCCCAGCCCACTCCAGGTTTTCACAGTGTCCTGACCAGATGTCTGTATGGTGGCTCCCCGGCGCTCTGTCCAACCTTGCCTGTGCTCTGAGTCCTGCATTCTTTCGGTGCCATTTATGCCACTGATGTTAGTGGTTGTTTGCGCAGGGTCGGCTGCCTCACCTGAGCATTTGTGTTTGGGCCATGGAGAAAACCCTATGCTAGTGAACTGTACCTTTGGAGCCACTTTGAGTCAGGGTTTTGAAGACAGCCTTCACCCACCTTCTGTGTGTGTCAAGAGCTTTGTGGTGGCAAGCTGTCTCCTTCCTCACTTTTTCTGATTGCGTGGCTGTTGGGTTTGCTTTCTGATGCATGTTTCAAAGCCACATGCACACCGAGCATGGTAGCTCACACCTGTAATCCCAGCACTTTGGGAGGCTGAGGCAGGCGGATCATGAGGTCAGGAGTTCGAGACCAGACTGGACAACATGGTGAAACTCCATCTCTACTAAAAATACAAAAAAGTTAGCCTGGGATGGTGGTGGGCATCTGTAATCCCAGCTACTCGGGAGGTGAGATAGGAAAATTGCTTGAACTTGGGAAGTGGAGGTTGTAGTGAGCTGAGATCTTGCCATTGCACTCCAGCCTGGTTGACAGAGCAATACTGTCTCAAAAAAAAAAAAAAAAAAAAATGCCACATGCTCTCTGTTTCTGTTTTCTAATCAGATTGTTTTTATCAAAGAAACTGAAACAGAGATATCGAGGGTTTTTTTTCCTCCAAAGCTATAACAAATGATGAGGATGGGGCACAGTGGCTCACACCTGTAATTCTAACACTTTGGGGAGCCAAGGTGGGAGGATCACATGGGGCCAGGAGGTAGAGACCAGCCTGGGCAACATAGTAAGACCTTATTTCTAAAAAAATAAATAAGTACCTAAAAAATAATGAGATTGTAGTCAGTGTGTCACTTCAGTTTTGGAAGTACAGCTCTAGGGCGGTGGGTGCCTCCCTATGCCTGCTTCCTCCAAAGACTCAGGCTACCCACCTGGCATCATCTGCCCACTTCACTTCAGGGACTGGGTCTAACTCGACTGCTCTGCCGCCTCTCAGCTGTGATCTGTAGTCCCTTTGTCCCCACATGAAGTTTTCCTGGAGGCATTGATGGAGTGGAGTCTGGGAGAGGAGGACATAGTGGACTGTGGATGGTGAAGCCACAGAGGAGCTGGGCTCCAGCGTCTGCCTACAGCTATTTGGTGACACCAGCACCTCCACACTGAGATGCCTGGTGGCATTGGCCTTGTGTGGTGGTCATGTGGGATTCAGTAAGACAGAGGCTGCTGTGTGTACAATACAGTGACTGGATTTCTATTAAAAATAGTTTCTGTCTTGATCTTCTCCCACCCCCTCCCTGTCTCTCTCTGCCTCCAGGTAAATTTATCCTCCCATCCCTGCCATGGGCTCTGTCTGCCATTTACACCCCGGTGTTATGAATCAGGAGCCCAAGTACTGATGACGCTAAGCCTAGCTTTAGGGGAAGATGTTAGACAATGTTTAACAATCTTTTATTTTTAATTTTTACATTTATTTATTTATTGTAGATACAGGGTCTCACTGTGTTGCCCAGACTGGTCTCAAACTTCTGGGCTCAAGCAATCCTCCCGCCCTGCCCTCTCAAGGTGCTTAGATTGCAGGTGTGAACCACTGCACTCTGCCTTTTATCTATTTATTTTTTCAAAAATTTAATAATCTTGATTTCCTGATTCTGATACAGCATATCCTTGGTGGCACCTGTTTGTGGAGCCAGGTGTGTGTGGAGCTGCAGGGTGTCAGGACCTGCATGTCTAGGTCTCATATTGTGGCCATCCATCAACTACAGAATATTTTTTAACTCTTACCCCCGACAAGCCCTTGAGGGTTTGCTTTTTTCTACTGATCAGAGGTGAAGAATTAACAGATATGGACTGGTTTTGAATGCCCTTTGGTAGACTGTTTTTGAAGGTCTCTCTCTTACAGGTGGTCCTGACAACCAAGTCCACTTTGAAGGGTACCAGGTGTCCAATCAGTGTATGGCGCTGGTTCGAGATGAGTGTTTGCTGCCGTGCAAGGACGCCCCTGAGCTTGGCTACGCCAAGGAGTCTAGCAGTGAGCAGTACGTGCCTGATGTGTTTTATAAGGTAAAAGTATGGTAAAAAAAAAAAAAAAAAAAAAAAAAAAAATAATTCCATACATGGAGAACAGGGTGAACCTTTCTTGGAGCTTTCTAATTTGGGTGCATTCTGCCTATAGCAGCCATTTGTCAGCTGTGGTTGAACTCTGCTTGTCGCTAAAGACTTCTGTCACGTTTCCGGGGCTTGATATTAGCTACTCATGCTCTCATGGCATTAGGGCTTCTCACCAGAAGTGGAGCTACATGTGCCGGGTTTGGGATCAGTAACACCAAATCCAACCATTGAACATAGTCTCAGTTTCTAAAGATGAAAAGATGGGGCCTGGGCATGGTGGCTCATGCCTGTAATCCCAGCATTTGGGGAGGCTGAGACTGGAGGATCCCTTGAGCCCTGGAGTTCAAGACCAGCCTGGGCAACATAGCGGGAGACTATCTCTACAAAAAATAGGTGTGGTGGTATGAACTATAGTCCCAGCTACTTAGGAGACTGAGGTAGGAGGATCACCTGAATCTGGAAGGTCAAGGCTGCAGTTAGCTGTGATGGTGCCACTGCACTACAGGCCTGGGGTGGAGATGAGAAGACAGTGGGAGATGTTTGGGGACCTTTTTTAGAATTCTGCCATTTGCAGCTATTCAGTGTTTTTTCGTTTTGGTTGTTTCCACTCCTTTGGGGGCTCCAGTTACACGTATATTTGGCTGCTTGAAATTGTCCCATGTTTACTGATACTCTGTTCATTTTATTTCAGTCTTTTTCAGTATTTCATTTTGGGTAGTTTCTGTTATGTCTTCAGATTCATTCATCTTTGCTTCTGCAGTGGCTAATCCGTAGTCATTCTCATGTAGCATGTGGTTCATCTCAGACATTGTAGTTTTCATTCTAGAAGTTTAAGTTGTTAGTTGGTTTACCGTGTTTCTACTTAATTTTTTGAACATAGAGGATACAGTTGTATTAGTTTCTTTTCTTTCTTCCCTTCCTTTCTTTCTTTTTTAAAATTTTTTTGGTCTTTCTTTTAACTATCCCTCTGAATTTTTTTTTTGCCCGCCCTCCTTCCCTCCCTCCCTCCCTCCCTCTCTTCCTTCCTTTCTCTTTCTTGCCTTTCTTTTTTCCTTGAGACAGGGACTCTCTCTGTTGCCCAGGTTGGTCTTGAACTCCTGGCTTCAAGCAGTCCTCCTGCCTTAGCCTCCCAAAGTGTTAGGGTTACAGGTATGAGCCACTGTGCCTAGCCCATATTAACTTTTAATGTTCTTATTTAGTGACTCATATCACCTGCTATTTCTGCATCAGTTTTAATTGACTGATTTTTTTTCCAGTTATGGGTTATTATGTCTGGGTCTGCAACTGCTAGTGTGTTTTCTGTGGACCATCCGTCTGTCTGTTCTTGTTACTAGACCGCTGAGTGTTTGTCATATGCTGCTCATTATGCATTACAAGCCAGAGACTCCAGCAGGGTGTCTTCTTCCAGACAGGGCTTTGCCTTCCTCCATGGGGAAGCGTGGTGGTGGTGGGCTGTCCACCTCCATCCACGAGGTGAGAAGCTGGTCAGAGCTGACTTGCATCTTGATGAGACTTTGTCTATTGTTGATGCTTCTCTTTCTCTACAGTGTAACCCCTTAGAGGTGCCATCTGAGAGCCTGGTAGAGATCTTTGTGAGGTGACAGTCTACCTTAAATCTTTGTCTTATTGGCCCTGAAAGGCCAGAAGTTTCTTGTTTTTTTCAGGCCTCATACAGCGTAAATATATGAGTATCCCATGTACCTTAAAACTTCTGCAAGCATCTTTTTTTTTTTTTTTTGAGACAGTCTCTCTCTGTTAGCCAGGCTGGAGTGCAGTTGTGCGATCTTGGCTCACTGTAGCCTCTGCCCCCTGAGTTCAAGCAATTCTTGTGCCTCAGCCACCTGAGTAGTTGGGACAACAGGCATGTGCTACCAGGCTCAGCTAATTTTTTATATTTTTAGTAGACACCGTGTTTTACCATGTTGGCCAGGCTGGTCTTGAACTCCTGGCCTCAAGTGATCTGCCCACCATGGCTGCCCAAAGTGCTGGGATTACAGGTGTGAGCCACCACACCTGGCTGCAAACATCTTTCGGGGGAGAATGACTGCATGTTTGAAACTCCTGTGTCACCAGAGTCTCTGCCAGACCCTCATCTCCCAGAACTCACCTCCTGCAGGAGGAGAGAGGAGGCTTTCCATCTCAGTGCCTCGGTCCCCTTTGCTGGGGATCTTCCCTATCTGGTTTAGATTCAGTTCCTGCCTCGCCTGCCTCCTTCCTTCCCAGTTGACCAGTCTGGTCTCGAACTCCTGACCTCAAATGATCCGCCCACTTCAGCTTCCCAAAGTGGTGGGATTACATTCGTGAGCCTCTGTGCCTGACTTACATTTTTCTTTTGAAACAGGCTCTCGCTCTGTTGCCCAGACTGGAGTACAGTGGTGTAATCCCAGCTCATTGCAACTTCTGCCTCCTGGGCTCACGCGATCCTCCTGCCTGTTTCTCGGGTAGCTGGGACTACAGGTGCACACTACCATGCCCAGCTAACTCTTTTGTATTTTCAGTAGAATCAGGGTTTCACCATGTTGCCCAAGCTGGTCTTGAACTCCTGGGCTCAAGTAATCTGCTTGCCTTGGCTTCTTATAGTCCTGGAATTACAGATGTGAGCCACTGCACTTGGCCTCTGTTTTCTTTCTTAATGATGTGGATAATCAGCTGTGTTAACACAGTTTTGGTAGTAAAAACAAACTTGTGTTTCCCTGTTAATATGTGATGTTTCTCTGTTGTCAGTCGTCTCCTTGAATCATGGATGTTTCTGGACTCTGTTCTATTCCATTGGCCAGTTTTCCTAAATCAGAACTAATACCTTGCGCGCACTTGCTCGCCCTCCCTCCCTCCCTCCCTCCCTCCCCCCCCTCCTCCCTCCATCCCTCCCCTCTCTCTCTCTCTCTCTCTCTCTCTCTCTCTCTCTCTCTCTCTCTCTCTCTCTCTCTCGACATGGAGTCATGCTGTGATGCCCAGGCTGGAGTGCAATGACACCATCTTGGCTCATTGCACCCTCCTGGGTTCAAGTAATTCTCTTGCCTCAGCCTCTCAAGTAGCTGGGACTACAGGCATGTGCCACCATGCCAGGCTAATTTTTGTGTCTTTTTGTTTTTTTTAGAAGAGACAGGGTTTCACCAAGTTGGCCAGGCTGGTCTTGAACTCCTGACCTCATGATCCGCCCAACTCGACCTCCCAAAGTGCTGGGATTACAGGCGTGAGTCACCATGCCTGGCCACCATGCTCTCTTACTTACCGTCACTGTGACTAGAAATATTTTTTATGCCTGGTAAGTCACAGACCTTCTTCCCTTTTCTTCAGGATACCTGACTGTCCTCAGCCTTTTGCTCTTCTGTGAGAATTTTAGACTCAGCTTGTTGAGTTGCACCAAAGCCAGCAGTCCTGTGAGGGTTTCATTGATGCCATTTCAGGGCTGAGTCTTCCTGCCTTGAACTTGGTGAGGTGCTACACTTGTTCCTGTGTTGTGTGGTTTATTTTTTGTTTTGTTTTGTTTTGTTTTGTTTTTTTGAGACAGAGTCTTGCCCCATTGCCCAGGCTGGAGTGCCGTGGTGTGATCTCACCTTACTACAACGTCCACCTCAAGCAATTCTTCTGCCTCAGCCTCGTGAGTAGCTGGGACTACAGGCTCACACCGCCATACCCAGCTAATTTTTTCTATTTTAGTAGAGACAGGGTTTCACCATGTTTCCCAGGCTGGTCTTGAACTCCTGAGCTCAGGCAATCCACTCGTCCCGACTTCCCAAAGTGTTGGGATTGCAGGCGCAAGCCACTGCGCCCAGCCTTGTTCCCATCTTCTTCAACGTCTCCTAGAAAAGTTTTCAATTTTTTTCTGTGGAGGCCTTACCTATTATTTGTTAGATTATTCCTAGGTACTTTATTTTTTTTTAACCTATTAGAAAATAGCAGCATTTAAAAATTATACTTCTGAACTCTTGCTATTTGAAACAGGTAAATTTTTGTATCCGGCAACTGCTGTAAGTTCCTCCATATTATGTTTATAGGTTTAGTCGTTTGCATTTCCTGCACGTATTATCGTGAATAACAGTTTTATTTCTTCGTTTCCATTTTCAGCCCTTTTCATTCTTTGGGCTTATCCCAATGTTGTCTGGTATCTCCCAAACAACGCTGATGGCAGCGGAAGTCATTGTCACCTTTGTCTTGTTTTTAATCATGAAGCAAGTGCTTTTAGGATTTTATCATTAACTATGCGTTTGCTTTAGGATTATTTTTAAATACCCTTTTCAGTTTGGAAATTTGCTTTTTTATTTCCATGTGTTATTTTAAGTTTCTTGCACTTAGGAATGGGGAGCTTCCTTTTGTAATGAAATATGTCACATTTCCTTGATCATTCTGTTGTTTTCATAGAGTGCTTGTTTGCCTTCTCTTAGTGAGAATAGGCTAGAAATACTTCCCCAAATTGTTTATAGCCCAGTAGGATTTGAGACAGATTTCTCATGTTTCAGGAAAATATCAGTTGGAGCAAAGAGAACTGTAAAAGCAAACATTGAAGTAATCCTTTTAGCCCTCCCATGGACTTTGCGGTTGAAGGTAAAATAATGCCTTGTAAACAAAACCTGTACCAATATTTGTCCATGGCTGTTTGCATCATGTTGTTGTCTTTGGCAATAAAAATTGGAAACAATTGAACAGCCCCATCACAAGGGGATATTCAGTTACCATACAGCTGGACTCTGGAATGGTGTGTGATTACTAAAGGTATGTGTTTACAAATTACTTAAAGATAAGAGATAAAACTTATGAAGTAAAATTAAAAGTACACCTCTATCTAGAGTATAATCCCAATTTTTTTGTTTTGTTTTTTGAAGACACATAGGCATTTGCACATGTATGTGGACGTACATTTACATGCACTCACACACAGGGTGGGAGTAGACGCTTCCTAACTGTCCTTTAGGAGGGAAGAGAGTCTGTAGTTCTGCTCTGTCCCATGTAGA